CCTCAGCCTTAATGCCCCCAGCTACCTTCTACACCCACTGCAAGTGGGTGCTATAGTGGGGGCACTATTACTGCCTATCTGTGTCCTCCTAGTTAAGCCTCATTAGTTCCCCAGACACAGCTTTGGCAGAAAGAGAAGAGGAGCCCTGATGAATCTGAGCCACCTGTGACTTGCTCCTGGGACATGCTAGGCAGGCAGAGCACTTCAGCAACACAGTCCACACAGTCCAGTCCCTGTCCCAGGCTTCCACATGGATGCGAAACCCATAAAAGACAGACTGCACAGTGACTCAAACTACTAAAGCACCTGACAACACTTTGCCATCAATTCAGACTCCAACGCTCCCTGTTTCAATAGAGGATATGTAAATTCATGTACATCAGTTTGCACCAGACTCATTTCAAAACAGCAGGACTTGTTTTTTCTTTTCTTGCGTGAAGGTCGCTCTCCTTACTACAGATTTTGTCAATTGCTCAATTTCTTACAAGAAGGTAAAAGAAGCTGTTTATTGCATAATATGGGATTTCAATGTTGTCTCTGTTTTTGTACACGTTCCTTTATACAGTGACCAGTACTAATGCTTGGGTCTGTTCGGTTCTGAGCATTTGAAGATAGAGAATTTGTATTCTCAGCTTCCACCATGTATTTAGCTCTCTGCTCATTACAGAACAGAGCCCGCTGATGATCAAAATTGGTGTTTGTCCCCTAAGGTCTTTTTAATGTTTGGCCCCAATACAAAATAGACATAAAATATACCTCGTTCATTTTAAATATTGTTATACTCTCCAAGTAATAGGCTTATCACATTCAAAAAATTAAGCATACCAGTCGAACTATTACCTCAGAAATACATCTTAAAAATACATCTTCGAAATACAATAGAAGCACCAGTCTCACAGAGTTTTGAAAGCCATACTACCAGAAGACTGAGTCATATTGGTTACCATACTTCTTGTAAATAGCACCAAATATTTGGCTAAGCCTCTGCTCCAATTTACCCTTTCCTAAAAGTAATATAGATGTTAAAAAAGTAGCCTCACACAATTGTATGTTCCAGGTTCATATTTACCCTTGGCTGCTTGACAAAGTGTGAAAAGGAAAGGGTAAAGGACCAACCTAGAATATTCACCCTGTTTCTTCTCTGTCCCCTCCCTCTCCTTTCCCTCCCTCACTTGCCCTCCTACTCTGCTAGAATTTAGCATATTTTACACTATAGTTCCAGAAAACTGTGCCTCCTCAGCGCCCTGTGGAAAGTCAAGGTTGGGGTCCTTATCTTACCTTGTCCATCTCACTTCTGATCAAGTGGGAAAAATGTACCGTCTCAGTGTGTATGCAGTGTAGTCTTACAGTGCTGGGAGCATTACATCTCTTTAGTGTTCTGGTACTCTTCTGGCACTATTCTGGTTTGACACATTTACACATCACCTCCTTCTCTGCCCAGTATGGTTAACATCTAGTGGGTAAGAAATTTTCCTCTCTGATTATCTTCTACAACGAGTTGGTGGTGCTGGCTCTGCTGTTACAGGAAGTGTATGAACAACTATGATTCACAAACCCTATGCATTTATAGGCCCTTATAGAGTACTACCCTGTAGTACCAACACCATATACAATAGTCCCAACCCTTTCCTACATTTATGTTAAAACTATCAATAGACAAGGTTTCTTTGATACTACTTTTTTCTTCCACCCTGTATTGTGTGCAGTAGAAAGTGGTCAACCAGGAACACTAAAAAAATGCAGACACAGACTATGTTCTCACAGCCAGTTACTCTGTTGTGGTACGGGCAAGAGAGACAAGAATCTTCAAGACTGGTGACTTACAACAGCTGTCTTCTCACTGATCCCATCTGTGTCCTCCTCAGGGAAATTAAATATTTCAATAGGTTGTTTGGATTTGGCTTTGTTTAAATTGTTCTTCACTACAAATGAGACATTCATTGCTTGTGGAGAGCTGGTCTAACCACAGTCTTGCTTTTTCCTGCCTTTTTTTTTTTTAATACTCAAAGCTTGATACTTATTTGTGGCAGTGCATCCTTCCCTCCCCTCCCTCCACCTCACCCCTCTGGCCACACTATGATCTTACAAATGCTCGTTAGGCCTTGGCCTTGATGAAGCACCTGGACTAAGCTCCCCTTGAGCTTATTAGAAACCCTGTCTGTTCACAGCAACTAGTGCTCCTGTTTTTTAACTAACAAACAGCCTTGGAAAGTCCTTGCCTGAATAATAAAAGTGAAATAACGTTTTCATTATCAAACTTTCAAAGAAAATTTCTGACCCAAGTTGTGGCCAGGATGGAAAATTACTATGACTCCTATAAACAGCAGTCCAAAATGAAACCCTTTGAGCTCTCCTGGACTGCACTGGGCTGTCACCAGCAATCTCGCTCAGAGTGGTGCCTCTCAGAGACAGTCAGCTCTCGCATTCACCACACTTGGAGGACCATCACCGAACGACAATGGATCCTGGGCTGATAATCCTTCTGCTCGAGGCTCAATCCTTTGTTGCGAAGATGCAAACTCATCTGACATGAGAACTTCATTGAAGTACTGGGGAATTTTTCACATACATACTTCTCTAAGTCTGAGTACATGTGAGTGTGAATATTCTATTGCAAATGTACAACAAATGTTGCTCTCCCAGATTCTTAAGTGTGGGAGGAACATGATGAATGTGTGAGCAACTTATATTGTGTGTGGTACTTTTATAGACTTTTATAAACTTTTACATAGTTTTATAAGTACTATAAGTTATAGGTCCCAAGATGGCCACAGGGTGTCTTTTCGAGAACAAAGAGAAATTGGTGCCAAGAAGAAGGTGGAGTTCGATAAAGTAAACAATTGCCTTGTTACCTGTTAATAACCAATTATAAAGGTATTTATAATGCATGTTTACAACTGGACAGTGACCTGTAACCAATTATGTGCTTCTTGTCATGAGACCTTGTATACAGATGCTATAAAAACCCTGAGCTATCCTAATAAATCGGACATATTTTAGATCTCATAGATCGTGTATGTTTCCGGTGCCTCCCCGTCAAAACTTAAGTACTTCAGATTGTAAGTTAGGCCTATAAGTAAATTGTAGCTGTTGTGAGTTGTACTGTAGCTGTTGTGCTACAGTAAATTTTAAATGAATCTTTTGTTAAATTAAGTTATCTATTAAGTGCTGTTAAACCTTTAGGCCTAAATTTTTTTTCAAGTCTGAGGCTCAGTTTAGCTAAGAGGTGTACTCTGAACCTTGTACCTCAATTGGATGGTTCTCCTTATTCCTTTTTATCCTTACCCTTTCTTACCCTTATGCTTTTCTTGTCTTACTCCTCAACTCCCCCAGCCTCCACATATAAAATTTTTGGACTGATTTTAGATTTAGATTGATTTATTGTAGGTTTTACTCTGATTTTGCTTTGTCTGCTTTAGCCATCTAGCAAACAGTAAAGTGAACCTCACCAACAAACTTTGTCACGCTTTCACTTTTAAATAAAACCTGCTTTTGCTAATATATTGGCCAGTGATTCTTTAAGTGACCTTAAAACACTCCTTCACAACACTACTTCTGTCTAACTGCAGGAAAAATGGAAGCCACAGAGTGGAGAGGGAGAAATAAAGTTTTATTAAGTGAAAAAATGATACAAAAAACCTCAATATAAATCACGGACATGACCCATTACCTCAAATCAATTATCATGTGAATTCACTTCTACATCGACATATACACAAGCAGGCGAAACATCACAACTATAGTCTATAAAAGTAGCATTAACAGTTCCTTTTCTCTATGGACTGGTAAACGGAAAGCGGGCATTTCCAAGCCCTTGATTAATGTCAGTAATTCAGGATATTGGAGCAGTAAGATCAACATCTGGTGTTAGTATGAGTACGCACCTCCTTAATTTCCCTTGTCTCCCTTTACCACTGCATGGGCAGTGAGGATCAGCTATAGAGATTAAATGACTATGTCACGATACCTTTCTGTGCAAAAATGCTTCCCCTTTTACAGATGTTGAGTAGTTCAACGTACATCTGCTTTGCTGGCATTCAAACAACTTTGGAGTTAATGGCATTTAGCTTTCAACCTCCCTTATGTACAGTCCTCCATTATTGTGTAAAATCTCAGGATAAATTCTGTATGGTGTCACAGGCTTCAGGACACAGCTTCATGGGGTGTAGCAAGTAAACGCAGTCACATCATCTCTCCAAGCTGAGGTGAAGGGAAAATTCAAGCTCAGTTTCTAATAGATGATTCTCATAGAGGGTAGAACAAGCCATGTGCACTATGCATATTCATATGCGTAGTATAACACATTAGACCTTTAATTACTTATATCTCATCTCCCTCCTCTCTCTGCCAAAATGAGCGTTTACATTCTTCTCAGTGAAATAGGATGCAAAGTCTTTACCTTTTCTCCAAATCATTCCCTCTTGGCTTGTCTATACCATGTACAATTCAGTAGCAAATACTGTTAACCTGTCCAAATCTGCCCTATTATTTCTAATCTCCCTTTTCTCTGTTTTCATTTGTTTTTTCTGCTTGACATTGCCCAAAGCCTGCATGCCAAACTCTGTAGGACAGAGCTGTTAGGGTCTATTTCCAATCAGGATCCTTAGAAAATATTAAAATACAAAACAAAGAGCATCTAAGTAAAAATAAGATATTGCAAATACTAATGTATTTATTGAAGGGCCTAAAAAAGAATGCAAGTAAAACTATTATCATTCTACATTACTGAAAAATGTGAAATAAAAATGTTTTTCATTGTGTTTTGTGCCATGTGGTAAGTTCTAAGCAGAAGGAAACTTCTGCTCCCTGTGCAGATTGCTGAGAAAACTCCCTAGGACAGTATTTAGCATTGGGATTAACACAATCCTCATCACTGTAAAAGCTTTTACATTCTTCTACATTCTTCTCAAATGTCAGAGATGGCCTCTTATGAACACTATTTTCCAAAATATTATTTAGTTTTATCAGTTAGCAGAATTTCCCATTTTCTGCAACTTCTGTCACCAGACTTGTTATATGACTGCCTTGAAGTCACAGTCCTCAATCCATGGTTAAGCAGCTTTTGAGCCTAGGTCAAGATTATAGTGCCTTTTGGTATTTATCTTGGTAGGTTTTGCTGGCATCAGGTACCGAAGGTTCTTCCAAAATCTGGAATTCACTGGAAGAGATTTATCTTTTTTCCACTTCACAACCCTCTTTGATGGTAAAAGAGACAGTGATTCTGGCAAGAAACTGTAGTCACTTATAGGCATATATTCAATTAATATGATTTTAATTTTTCTTTCAACTAGGGCTTTATGCAGGCCACTCTCAAGTTCGTATATGGCTCTGTCAGAACCATAGTTCTGGCTCAGTATAATGATTAATCTTCGGCTTTTATCAATGAATGAATGGATATCGTCAACAGCTGCTGCAAATTAAAGATAAATATGTTGTTAAATTAAACTGAAAGAAGAGGCATTGAATTGACTTTTTCTTTAACATTCACATCTGTACCAAAAATGTTCCTCTTATAAAGTGATAGCATGTGAACATCCTGTCCTTATGAAGTGATTAATATATATTACATATTAAGAGTCTGTGAAAACGAACTCAGGTAAAGCCAAAACTTTTTTTCCAGACCAGACCAAACCTATTTATAATCGCCATCTACTCTAGATAGCTGTCTGGCAGTTGTCACATGGACAGAAGGTGACAGCAAAATTTAACTTTCTCCCATCCAGAGATCTCTGCGCTTTCATCACAGATATTACTGGAGTGATTTCACAGAAAGCCACCAACAAGCAACCTCTCTCCAAATACCCAGTACCCTTCAGGTTACACCTTTCTTTACGACACCGATCACCCAAATCTATTGCCAGTAATCCAAGGCTGATAAGACTGGCATGTAATGACAGAATGAGTTCCAACTGTGTTTTATATTAATGACTTTTGGCATGAAAATTGATGAATGAAAGCAAATGGTGATACCCTTTAAAAACCAGATGCAATTCTCATGCACGGTTTCCAGTACTTGTTTCAACACCATGGAAGAAAGTCCACAAAGACCAGAGATCTAGAAAACATGCCTTGTAGGGAAAGGCAAAGCAAACTACACAAGTACCCTAAAGAAGAGAAAACTGGGGGGAAAAGGAGACTGACAATGGTATTGAAACATCAAAGGTTTCTGTAAACAGAAGGAAACATTCAATTTTCCATGTTAAAAATGGATCAGACCAGAGAAAAGGAAAAAAGCTAAAAGTATTGAAGGAATCAGACTGCACACTTCAGTAAACCTTTTTTTAACACTTAGAAATAACAAGTAAAAATTAATGAAAAAAAAAGGTTTGGGAGATCTGTGGCACTTCTCAGGTTAGAAAAATATTTCAGGAATAGATATAAAGAGACAAGATCCTGCCTAGTGAAGAAGGCTGACTGAACTTATTATCCCATGATTTAATAATGAAATCCTAATCCTCTACTAGATCTTTGGACTAAATAGAAACTCCTAGTATCTTTTTTCCAAGCATCTGCAAAAGGCAGATGTCAGATCTATCCACAGGCCACGTAGAGAAACAAAATTCCGTGTTCTCATTTCTATTTTGTTATGGCACCCATTACATTCAGAAAATGGTTTCAACTACCAAATTGAAGATACAACAAACATACAAGTTACCTAAGAGTAACTAGTACCAGAGATTCCAGTTGCTCTGTGCAATAATGTGAGTACATTCATTGGCCCTCAGCAAAAGCAGTGCAAAAGCACAATTATTGGGAAATATCTGACAACTTCTGTGTTTTCAACTTCCTCCGTGCTCTTTTCATCTTTTCATCTTAGTTCCTTGTAATTAAAGATATATATGTGTCTGTGTCTCTGTGTAAGTGTATATGAATTCATAGATATATCCATAAAATATGTAAAATGTGTGCAAGCAAACTTTGCATGCCCACAATCTAAATTAAATTAAAAACGTATCCTTTCAATACACAACACATTTGACACAATTCCTTCTAATTACAGATTTCTACCATTGGGTCAAAATGATGAGTCTATTTAATGACAAGACTTTTTAATACACTTACCTCCTCCAGGGAATACATCCCTCTCAAATATACATAACTTGTACCCAAAGTTTTCTTCTAATATCATGGGTAATATCTTCAAGGCAAATTCTCTCTCTTCTTCAGTTGAAGAAGCACAGTCTTTCAGGTAAGACACAAATGCATCAAATTCTTTTCCATCTGAGAAGAAATCGACAATTGTTGTCTTGTTAACAACCATCAGAAATCCAGTGTCTGATGGATCATTCTCGTTTTCAAAATTATTGTCTAAGTAGCAAAGCATCTAGGGAACTCCTGCTCTGTCTTTTGATATCCTGAAGAGTCTTCAAACACTCTTCATCATATTCAAAAGAAGTCTCGAATCAATTTAAATTTGATACAAAAGATTCTGATTGCATTTGGCAAATACTTGAAAATAACATTTCCTTTCCACAGTAAAGTGTTTTGAAATAAAATTCGATTAATTTAACCAGTTAAAGTCACATCTGTGATGATGAAGAAATGAAGGGAAGCAAAAAATGTATCTGTAACCTGATAAAATTTAAGAGATATTGCAGATTTCCACATTTATTTTGCTTTTTGAGTCAGAGTATGAAATAATTCTATAGAATGGGTACTGGCAAAAGAAAATAAATCAGTTACTCTTCTAACTAAAAGTTATAACTAAAAGTTATAAGAGCATGCCATGTCTGGTCATGCTTTGGGGAGTAATTTAAAAACATAAAATCAAAGACCTATCCAGAGGCCAGGTCTACCACATTGAGCGATCATGAACCTTGCCACAGAACAACTATCTAGATTGATACAGAGGCACAACAAGGAAGTTTAGGAAAATCAGGTCCATACATATAGCAAGTTTTTTTACCCCAATTTTCAGAAAAATTATTCCCAAAATTGGGTAACTGTCAGGCTTGCTTGCTGTGATGGCCACAGTGATGCTGCTTGGTAAGATCCTGCTCTCCTTAAGTGCATGTAATGACAAACCTATAAACATTGCAATGGCCCCTGCAGTCAAGGAAGCATTTTAACCTTCCCCTCACTGAAGGGCGTCAGTGAGGAGAGAACAAATTTCTGTCAGTCTGCCTGGCTGACAACTCCAGAGTGCTCATCCTCTTCACAGATAGATAACTGCAAACTTCTCCACCTTTATATACTTTCGTGATGAATAATATGGCAGAACAGAGTTCATCTGCATCTAACCACCCGCTCTAGAGGCAGCTTCTTCACTGTGTTTATCTGCTGTTATTGCCACAGGTGTATAAAAAACACACTTCAGCATCTGACCATCAAGTTCTCTTTTATATATTCTTTGCTGTTTCTACTCACAAAACTCCTGGATATAAGATTAATTTTTGTCTTCCTCAGAGATGATTGTTTTATAAAGCCTTCCAGGAACTATTTTTTAATCAATACACTTATTTCAATGCCAGCATTAGCAAGGTCATACCTCCAGCAGTGTCATCTCTTCTGCATATATTCCTGTAAAATAGAACTAAGTCAACCCTAAACATCACACAAACAAACACTGCAGCTACAGCAACAAATGGAAATAGTAGAGCAAGGACCATTCCAGTTGTAAATATGTGCACAGGCAGATCTTGGGTGTTCCCTGTAAAACAGAAACCCAGGAAATTACAGCTTTATCAAAGAGTATTATATGACAAAATTACTGTGTCCAATACTGATGGCACCTTAAAATCACCTCAAAAAATTAAAATGTTGATGTGAATCCTTTCCTGCCAATAATTCAAGCATACATGCATGCCACTTGTCCTGAGATGGAGAAAAACTACAGAATTACTCTAAAAACAGGAGAAACAGTCTTGCACACATTCACACACATAAATGAAATGTATGTCAGATTAAGACTGACACTACAAATCTTCACAGATGTACAGTATCCCAAAATGGTGGTCACCCACTTTTGTGATGAGTTTTCTCCAGGTTTTTTATTATTTCCTGTTATTATCTACCTTTCATCCCGCTCTCAGTCCATGCATAACAGCCCTTTATGCCCCCTTTAATCTCTTTGGCCAATTTTTTTTTTCTTGTCTCTAGTCTCTTTCAGGCTTTTCTTTTTCTTAATTATCATTATTATGTTATCTTTGGGGCTTTTTTAATTTCAAACATAGAATTTTAACACTTAACTTTGTGAAGTTTTGAAGAAGGCACTGTCAAGTCATGCTCATTGTAGTCTGTATTTCTTTTGCTTTATTATATGCATCATCTTTTGACAAGTCTTTTTTCACATATTTCCTCCCAGTAAAACTTGGAAAGGCCTGATAGAGATAGAAAACAAGAAGAGAATGCCCATTTGTGATGAATCTACAGGTTATCTGGACTATAAATGTGAAGTACTACTTCACATTAAGGTTAGCTTTCCATAGCTAGAAGTAAAGAATTCCTGACAAGAGAGAAACCACCAGCATGTTTCAGGCATTATCTGCAATATAAAAGATTGACCTTTCCGGGGCAGGAGGGCCTGAGGAAAAAGGGGAGCACCAAAAAAAAAATGAAGAAAAAACAACACATACAAAACCCCAACCAAAACCTCAGATTTTAGTTTTAGGAAGGGATGCTCAATAAACAAAGCATTCCAAACAGAAGATTGAGGGCTGCACCAAGTTTGGGTGTTTAATTCCTGTGATCCCACCAATCTGATGAATAGGAGAGGACAGGTGAATGCTTTTTCATGGGATCTTAACAACATGCTGCCCAGGGATCTGTCCCAGCTGTGTCCACAGCAGCAGCAGTTAGACTATGGAGCCCAGACACAGCTGCTCTAGCTACTCCTTCTGCCCATTTCAGAGCAGGAGGAATCACCCAGGGTGTTATTAGGTCCAGTACTAGATGGACCAGGGACTTTATAAGCAGACAGACATATTTGGAGAGATGTTCTGAAATGAGTAGCCTGCCCTCAGGATTGAGAAGGCTGCCATGATTAATAATTAAGTATGAGAATTATGATTTATAGATTATGTCATACCTTTCTTCAGTTTTACTATTTTTATCTGTGTGCTTTCATCAGCTTGCAACATGCAGGTGAAATTACGATGCAAGTCCTCATCTGTTACTTTTTTAATCCGGAGTAGCCTTGTGACATAAAACTTGTTTCCCAACCTGCAAGGAGGAATGGTGTTAGCAACACTATCTGTACAGAAATATACAATCACCAGAGAGGCAGATTTAGAGGAAAGGGTTCTAAAAAAATCCCATCAGACTACAGTTTTACTGAATTTGCAGTTGCACAAAGTGCAGGACATTATCCCAGACAAAGTGAAGCATTTTCAGGAAACCTACTGTAATTTTTTGAACTCTTCTTCACATATTGAAGGTTCGTTCTCGGGGATACCTGTGCATTGTTCTGGAAACGTTTGGTTAATTAACCAGTAGAGGCTGGCATCTTCTTGCATATAATAACCCAAGAAACCTGTGCAATTGAGTATCTCTTCTTTACCTAAAAAAAAAGTGTAACATGAGAAGATCTAGTCAGAAGTAGTATTCATGTTCACTGTGCAGTAAAATGTCAACTTTCCAGCCAACATATCCCATGAGCTGTGCTCTCTTATGGATTTCATATCCCCTGCTCAATGTTTTATAAGTGTTCTGTTGAACCCTGTTGTAGAGTGACAGTCATCCATTGCATTAGGTCAGATAAATCATCACAGCCAGCTGAGTTTAAATATACCAGAGTATTTCAGGTTTTAAAGAACTAAAGGGAAATGGCCTTGATGATCCTTATGGGTTCCTTCCAACTCAAGAGATTCTATGATTCTATGAACTAGACTGTGCTCTGCAGGCAGAGAACAGGAGAGGACAACATATCACCAGTGGTCCACAACCAGGTAAAAGTAAATAACTGGTAAGGGGAATTATAACCCATTGATTGTAATAAGTTAACTATATCTGACTATTCAATAAAGCCAAAGCCCCTGCTGAACTCTCATAGAACAAGTTCTCATCCCACACCTGGAAATTCCTGCATATATGAACGTCATTTACTCAGTCAGTTACTTGTCCAATTCAAAGCACTAAGTGAAAGTGGCAGAAACCACCCCATAAAGTTCAGTTATTTTTAAGAAAAAGACAACTGTGCCCTTGGAAAAATAAAGGCAGAAGATTGCAGCTCTGGAGTGCGAGATTTTTTAAACACTGTCATAGGAAGCTTGACCTGAAGTTAGCTGCAACTTTGCACCACCACTTCTTGGCTATGCCAGCATGATTGCCAGAGAACACATCCAGAATGCCCTTTATTAAGCCATAAACAGTGCATTTTAGTCCTTGCTCAGGCCATATACACAAACACTTTCCAGTAAGAGAGGCGTGCCCAGCAATTCTCCAAGGGCACATATAAGCTGACTTCTCCAGATTTATCAGAGTGGACAGTTCCAGAATCTTCAAAGCAGGATCCAGATGAAAATCTGGCCATTTTAGATTCAGACCTTAGAAATCCAAATCACATTTGCAGAGCCTGAAACATAGAGCTAACCTTCCAGTACCATCTACCTTGCAACTCTAGCTTTTCCAGCTATTTTTGGGGTGATTATAGAACACCATCTAGACAATGTTTTAAAGATCATGGACCTAGCTCATCTACAATTCCCTCCACTACCCCCCATGCCATCTGTCTCATGACTCAGCAGGTAGTTCAATGACCTTATCAAATGACCTTATCAAGGCAGATAAGGGATGGTAGTTCATAATCATTTGATGCTGAACTCTGCCAACTTCTAAGGGTTGGGACACGCACAGTAATGAGGAAGAAATGGGCAGGAAGGGTGTACTGGGAGGTTGGAAGTCATGAGGCATCATAGCATTGGGGTACTACAATTGAAAAAAAGACCTATCAAGCAACATCTGTAAGAAGGAAGGAAAATTAGCATTTGAGGTCCTAGATGAGCAAATGAGATACAGGTATGAGCCACAGAGGAGGTAACACTTAGAAGGGAAGCATTAGGTAATGGAATGGGAGAAGCTCTCAGGCACAGGAGAGGAAAAAGACAGGTAAATTTCTGGTTTTAAAAATTAATTACAGCCTCAATCACAGAATCCTGGATCCTGTCCAAGATTGTGTGAAGCCTCCAGATCATGTTATCTAACCTACTCCCAGTCAGAAGAACAGGTAAGATCTCTTGACAATATAAAAAATTCTTTGAAGAAGGGACAGATCTTCATGTCCACATTACCAGGACTGTCACCCCCTCACACTTCTCATTTCCCTGAAGAATAACATCCTCAACTGTGTCAGGTAGTGTGATGGTTCGGATTTGGCTCCCTGCCAAATGCCCAAGTAGCAGCCCCTCTCTTCCCCCTTCTTACTTCCCCCAGGGCAAAGGAAAAAAAACTATATAAATTGAAGAACTCGAAAATCAAGCTAGTTAAATAAAAAAAAATATATATTTTATGTATATTACAGTTAAGATGCTATGTACACAGCAAAAGGGAATCCAAACACCCCCCGAAGGGATAGGGAAAGGGGAAAAGGAATAAAAGGTAACAAAAAAAGAAAAAAGGACACCGAGCAGATATACGCAATCAAACCCGAGAATTAGTAAAATTACTAGTAAAACAAATCTCACCACGTCCCTTAGAAAAAAAAAAAAATTGACTCACACACGGCCAGCACTCCCCAAGCTTCCACATGGCAGGTCAGTGGATGCTGCAGGCCTCACCCTTAGATAAGCGAGACCAATGCAGGGACCCACTGTTTCCGAACTTGGGCGGAAGTGAAGAAGAACGAAGGCCGCTGCTCCCTTCTTTTTTTACCTTGATTCATGTAAAAATCGTATGGAATACTGGGAACACTGCCCCTTCCTTGGTTACAAACTGGTAACCAGGGAAGGCCTAGATTAAAACCACCACAGGTAGCAAGGAGAGTTCTCACTATTGCTGTTCACTGAACGAACCATGTATCTTTTACACACTGCTTCACAGGGTTTGCTATCTACAAAAGAAAGCCACGGAGAGATTGTTTATCACCACCACCACTTCCTCTTGCCGATCATTGCAGCAGCCTCAGCTTCTGCCGCTGTAGAATGTACATTTAGTGTCCTGGTATATCAATCATACAATACACTGGGCAAAACATAACCAGGTGTGAAGTTAGATGAGATACAGGAGGGTGCACAGACAATTCTTAGTTGATTACACTTAACCAGACCATCAACCATAAAGAGATCAGAATAAAAGCATATATGTGTAGTGGCTACCACAAAGATTCTTGTACTAATTTCATACCTATTTCTGTTTCAATTTCTTCATGGTGTCCAATTATCTCCAAAGTTACAGCCTCTGGTGCATCTAAAACAGAAACACTGCTATTGAAGTAATAGCACGCATACACTGTTCCACAGTATAAATTACATACTTGGTCTATTTCTAAAACTAATTGCATACATTCCATTTAATTCAAAGAACAATATATGGACTCTGGTGTTGCTAAGTACTTTAAAACACAGGATGACTTGTTGAATTTTTTTCATATACATATATATGCAGTGCACAATTTAAAATGGTTGGAAAGGCTCTTTTGCAAAACTCTTAGTAAGTCTGTATGACTGACTTCCAGCAGCTATTTTGAAAAAAAATAAAACTGCAGGAAAAACATACTAAATACATCTTCCAAAATAGGTAATATGTCATCTTAACTTCTGCTTTTTTACTTTTCAAATTATTGTGAAATAGTTTATATTACCAGATTTGTTCCCCCTTGGATCTATTTATCAAATGAGAACTGCAATAAAAAATCTCCATTATAAAGTGAACCAAAAGTATGCTTCCAAATTTTAGAAAGCTTTCTTACCTTCTTCTACTACCAGTTTAATTGTGTTTGTGCTGTGGTATATCTTCCCTTCGTGACTGATTAAAATTTTACAGGTATATATCCCAGAGTGCTGTGCTGTTAAGGTTCCAAAATGCAGTTCCCTCTCTGTTTCATGTTCATAATTCTTACAGTCCTGCATGAATAAAACCAGAAAACACTATTGTGTAGCCCAAATGCATTCAAAACCTTAAAGAAATTAAAAACTGCTTTTGAAACAAAGTTCAAAAACTTTTGACCATTTAACCCATTAGAAGCTGGGTCCACTGCAATTTCAAGTAAGCATCTGAGTACAAAAAAAATACTGTATTGGGAACTCAAAAGCACTCTTTTTTTTTTTTTTTTGTTCTTTCAAAATGATGGCTTGAGTCTGTAGGTGTCATCTGCTTGTGGCCCAAAGTTGTCTAGTTTATGAGGAGGTTTCAGGTTAAAACAAAACACCTCAACAATAGGGAAAGTAACTATCTCAGAGGGTGACAGGAATTGGACTCACATGAGTTTGATCTTTCTATGCCTGAAAAAAACCTATAGTCTATTGGGGTTTTTTAATTCACAGCACACGCTAAGTGAAATGTCCTGTGAAAAGGCAGCAATGTCTGGTTCTCGTCTGAATTACCTTAGATCACTGATAGAAATTGTCCAAGAAACGTGTTTTTCTGGATGCATGTTTACTAGCAGGCTCTTGCTCAAAAGGCGTGTGTGACCACCCCTGTTTTATCTCAGCTTAGGGAGTGATAGGAAGACTGAAAATTTTCGCCCAATCAAGTGCTAAAGGACATTTAGGTGAAGGATGGCTGCTTCATCTGTCTCACACAGTACTAGGCATTAAAATATTAAGCACTAGTATACTCAGTTTAGCTATGAGAGAGACCAGTCTGGGGTATGGCCCTTTATTGAGGAAGCATTACAACCTGTGGCACTATCCATCAATCTAAATCAGCAAACAGACATACACGTCAGATCTTTTACCATTATAAACTACCAGTTTAATAACTTCTGAAAAAAGTACATTTTTCTAATAAATCTGAGAGGAGAGAAAAACTTTGTTTCGTGTATTTGTCTGTTGTTTTTTTTCCCTAATCACCTGAGAAATAAAAGCTTTACAGTGTTTCTAGATGCTTCTAAAAATTTGCTTGCAATTAATTTTTCCTGCAATCAGATATTTTGTTTCTACAGCCAATTATTTGAGTGAAACTGTTTCAGTAATTACCTTGTACCATGTTATGCTGTCATTTTCATTGACAGACAAATCACTGCATTTCAGTGAATGACCAGTTCCAGCATTTTTTAATTCTGTAGTTAAATGATTCTTGTTGAAACAGCTGCTTTCATTTCTTTCAATTACATTCAGGGTCCACTTTTGAATTATGAAATGTTGTTTTCCATTGCTATGAAAAAAAAATCAGCCAAATCAGTTTTAGGAGCTTCTTAAAAGAATGCAGCCTAGTGAATTACACACAAAATACAAAATAAATTCCATAATACATCTGTTAGGTAAAAAGTACATCTACAGTGACCTAATTATTTATATTCACCATTATTACTTTTCCACCCCCAAGTAAGTATTACTTCCTTTAACAAACAAGTTACATAAACTAAATTGACCATCACAAAACATTTGACAATACAATTATATCTATGGAATATGGCAACATGTGCTACATCAACCCGAACAAAAATGCAACAATCTATGGCATCAAGTGTAGTTACAGAAGAGCATAAAAGAATTTCAGGACCTTGAATCAGCTACATATTTTGCAGGTATAATCTCCTATGTGTTGCTAAGGTTTAAAGCAGTAACTGAAAAATATACTTCTAAAATATATCAAAACTGAAACAGGCAACTCTACTATTGTTCACAAAGCAACATTATTGATTGTTTGATACTCTGCAGATAGTCACTGGTATTTTGGAAATATTCCAAAACTCCACAAGTCTCATGAATTACAGCATCATTTATGGATTCAAGCATGTCTGCAGAACAAGGCATTTTGGAAAGGATGCATCTCTTTTTGAGTCCTGCACTGACAAAAGATCTGCAGTAGCTCACCACCCCAGGTTGACTGGAAGAGTCAGGAACTACCACTTCTACAGCAGTCATCACATCCCCTGCAGTATCTACAAACGATCACATGAATATGCTCCAAAAACACCTATTTTGAATATCTAGGAGCTGATTGTTGCCATTCAGATAACAACCAAGTTCTATCCATATTCCTGGAAAGAATCATATTATACCCATGAGTTATTTCACTGCTGGATATGTCCAAATACACGACTACCAAGGGAAAGGAACCTGGAGGACTTTTGACTTAAATTTGGCAAAGTTAGAGCTTAAGAGAAAGCCATATGTTGCTGTCTGTTAGTGGGTGAGATTCTGTCAGTTAGCGGGTGAGATTTCGCAATTAGCGTATAAAGCTCTCATTTGTTTACTGAACAAACAGGGCCTGACAAAGCAAATGCAGCAATCATAGAGCACTTCCCTCCAATGTCAGTCATATCTTTATAAATATGTTTGAATCCTTCTGCCTCCATGAAAAGAAAAATAAATTGCTCCCAGAGCTACAACTAGTCAAGAATCGTTTCAATGAGAAGGGCCAAGAAGATAAAGCAGTTGGAAAGGAGAAGCATCCCTGACAAGTATACCAGCTTAAGCACCATTCCTGACTGACATGCCCTTTGATTGTACAAGATTCTTAAGAACTATTAGGACATCATTTATATGATGAATTTAGACCAAGTCTTGGGTTGTTTCTTTTCCAGTTCTTAAGTTTGTCAAACAAATTAATTTATGTATTCTGCTCACCCTCTTCCCTTTATAGCTCTTTCTCAGCCTACACAGGTTCTCCTTGTTCTCTTTACTCACTTGAGATATTCATTGCTCATAATTGCAATTGACTCTCTAAACCAAAACAGTGGTTTGGTTTCTCAATCAGTTAACTATGCCATCATAAACAGGAAAAGCCTTACCAAAACTTTTCTATCAGAGGTGTGCTCGTGTGGGTATTCACGGTGGGTGGGGTCCTTCTCAGCTATTCTTCAACATCATATTTACACATTTAAATGAGAGCTACTAATCACAGTCAGCAGTGGGACCACAGTCAGTAGTCACCTTTTTACAGTGCAGTTTATATGATCTATTTTATATATTCTGTTTAGGACAAGATAATCTGTACACCAGAAAGGCCTCTCTCTCCATGACAGTAAAGGTATCTAAGATAAATTTAGGTGTAGACATAAACATTAATTCCAATTAATTCCACTTAGTCTGTGTGTTTCTTCAGGTATCACATTACTAATCTGAATACTGCTGGAGAGGTAATTACAGATCTAGCCACAAAATACATATAATTTTACTGTCTAGATTCAGTAGATGGAAGAAAAGGGTCAATAAGGCCACATGTTCTCCTCAGCACTGTCACTTCACAGAGGCTTTCTTCTGTGATCCTATTTGGTGAAATCATTTCAACAAATATGAGGATTTCACTCGAGCTGGATCAAGATATTCTACCTAATGAGCCAAAATCTGGCAAGGAGCAGCTCCTTAGAAGGTGTCAAAACCATACCTATGCAAACAAAGATGAATTTGTCTTACAAAATTTCTAGTTTTCTGCCATATATATGGTTCTCAATCAAAAAAAAAAAAAAAAGATGCATTTATTCGTATTGTTTAAACTGCTAGTTGTCAGAATTGTTATATTTTCTCCTGGTTTTTAATTGTTGAGACCTTTGGTGAGGAACAAAACAGTTTCTGGTTTTTCAATTCCCCTCACCAAACCCACCAAGAAGGAACAACAAAATCTATCATCTTTACTCAGGAGATGATACAGGGAAACAAAACTCCTTAGAGAATACGAACCAAGTTTACTGCATACATAGACAATTCTAAGTAATTCTTTTGCTATTTCACTGCAACAAGCCAGTGTTATCTCAATATTTCAATCTACTGCAGAAACTGTCACTGTACCTTCCAAATTGCAATATTGTGTATTTCCACTGCTTTTAACCATTCTAAATATACTAAAAAAGTAAGCAATATTAGAATTTTAAAACGTTTCGTGTTTATTATGGATCTCTGTACTTTCAGGGTTTTTTTGGGAACCTGTAAGCTTTCTCAGTTTCAAGGTCACCAAAACAGTGCAACCTGATGACCTGCTTTTTTGTATTCTGTTTTTCTCTTCGATAACCACAGGATACAGGCTACAAAACCCCACACAAATTAGAAATCCTGCCAAAGATCTATGACACAGTTTTTCTGCTTACCACTCTCACTACAAGTACCTATGCAATTTTTATTTTCAAGAAATGTTGCTGAACATGGACACATTCAAACTTACAGGTGATGTTCATTAATTCCTGAATTTATATCCTACGTCTAGTATACTAACAAACACATGTGAACACATCAACACACACTTCAGGTTTATCTGTAAAACTTCTGAATCTTCCTTAAGTCAAAAATAAGTGGTTAATACACCGTGAAAATATTGCTTCATCACTTTCATCTCTTGCTTCTTGCATATTGTCAGTTGTAACATATCAGGGGAAAAAAATCCCTACATTTAATTAGTTTTCAAAATCTGTCAATGTCTTCCTTTCTTGAAAATCTGCAGTATATGTAATTGTCACACTGTTCACTCAAACTGCCTAAACAGTACTCCCATAGAGCTTATAAATATCTATCTCTAAATTAAACTGTTGAAAATATAAAAAAGATAAATAAAAATTGGAATACCTGTTTTCAAAATCAGAACTTTAACTCCACTCTGTCATTCTTATTAAAGCTTAAATCACTTCAGTAGTTCACAATAGCCCCCAATTTTTCCCTATAAATAGAGACCACTAGAAGTTCTCCATCTCTGCAGAAAACAGTTTCTCTAATAATCTTTTGTATTTGCTTAAATTTAAGTCATTTAATATGCTTGCCATTCGTGAGAACCATCAAATAAACTAAGCCCAAGACTCCATTAAAATCCTATGGAAAAAATCCCCTTATGCCTACTGTTCCAGTAGTAAGACCTATGAAGAGTTCCCACATGAGGACTGCAAGATTCTAGCATGTGCCTTCATTCTGGTCCTAACAGAAAAATGAGTATTTGTCTGGGCCTAACAGACAGAAATTGAGAAAAAAAAGAATTCCATATCAGCGTAAGAAACTCCTTTCTTCAAAATAAAAATGCTTTCTTTGAAAACTGAGTTTTAAAATGTAGTGGCATAATATAGTTCTAGAAGACAAGACAAAAAAGCAGAAAACCAAAACTCATAATTCCATATTAATGATTTGATGCAATCAAAACCTTTCTTCTGAGTTTCTCACTTAAGCAAATGAGTAAATCAAGACATTTCATAAAGGATTCTGACATTTTTGTGTTTTACAATAAATACTTGTTTTAACAAACTTCATCCTAATAGTTTTACTTCAGTTCTCTTCCTGTCATCTTCTTCTTCTATATGTAAGGCTATTTCCCACAGTTCTGAGGTTTATACTTTTTCATATTAGTTTTTCACAGTTCTTGTAATTTACTGTGGATTTACAATCATTACTCCAAGTCCTTAAAGTAATGACAAACCCACAATGATTGTGAATTAAAGCTGGGGTTATCATAGTTTTTCTCTCTTCTTTCCTGTCTTTTTCCTCTCTTTTTAAACTCCTTATGACAGAATTGTCATAAGTTATTGTCAATACCCTGGCAATTCAGGTATGCTCTCCACCTATTTTTCCCCATGCCAAGAAAGAGTGTGCATTTTGTGCCACTGGTAAGGTGTTGCCATTAGAGCAAATTTTTAGATTTGATAGCTTTTTTCTGAAGTGACCATATAGACAACTGATAAAGGTCATAAATAAAGCCACAATTTAAACCTCAATTCGGACTTGATATGTCAAATACAGTTCCATGTCAACAGACAAGTGTCTGTGTCAGGTACCATCGAATATTAACGCCTACACACCAAAACTGAGCATCAGGCTTCAGCTGTGCTGCTTCAGGCAAATGACTGTACTGAATAATACAACAACAATACACAAAATTGCAAGATAAAGTAGACAAACTACCATACTCATCACCCCTAAAGATAATTCTTGTAAGATTGAGTTTGGCATATATGAATAACATTTTTATCAAGCTTTACCCTACAATTAACAATATTTAACATTTCACATACCATGACTTTGTACTTTTAAAAACAAAATCACTAAGATAATAATAATTATGATACCTGGAAAAATAAAACATAAAGTTTTCAGCTTCCAAGTTAACTTGGACATTAACAATTGAAGTCTAGCTTAGAACAGTAGATTATCAAACTTGAGTCTGCAATGCTATTGGAAAAATGTGAATAGCATTTTTCAGTATCCGCAGTCCCATACCCTTCACGAACCAGGCAAGAATCTTAAATATATTTCTTAGAGGACAGCACAAATCATTACATGCAAAGTAATCTGCTTCAAATTAATCATTGCTTCAGTTGTAAATGCTGAATTATGGTTTTATTGTAAGTCAGTCATAAGACTTCCACGCAGCAAACCTTTGGTTTAGTTCCCTAGTCCTTCAAGATGTTCCAGTGAAGATTACCACGAAATAATGGAGGACTCCTTTTTCTCTTTTTGACTCATGATGTTATAGAGTGGCAAGAAATCAAATCCAGTTATTTCACTTGTTCTTTGAATGGCTCCAAGTGTGTAAAGGTTTGCACAGAAGCTAGAGTTCAGCTATGCCACTCTTTGTTTATTGCTTTACTATACAGATAGATGACTTGGCAGGCCTCATAGTGGGAGATCCACCCAACACTGCAAACAAGAACAAGTCTGGGGAAGAAGACAAGCAAATGTTTCCTTTCACTTGGCAGTGGGCAGAAGGGTTGCCTATCACTCATTTTGTTTAGGTAATTAATCACAAGCCAGCAGAAATGCTACCTGCCTTATCAAAAGGCTTACAGAACATTTAAAAGGCTGCAATTGCTTCTAGTTCTTTGTAAGTATTATAGGTTCACCTTGATGGTTATTGTGCAATGAAGTAGGAAATGACACAACAGTTAATGCAGTTCCCTGCACCTCCTTTGTAGGGATGCCAGTAGCTGTACAAAGGAAGACAATGAAATTATCTTCATAACAGACATGTGCAAAGGCAAGATGTTCACCTATTGGGTTGTGTACCTACCTGTGAGTGACAGAGTAATTCCCAGAGTCACTGAGTTCAGCTGGCCAAAACTCCAGAAAATTCATTCGTGAAACAATTCTGTGTGTTTCCTTTACCAGTTGCTGCTTTCCAGCATTTTCTCTGTACCAGTTTATTGTGTATGCTTCCTCCTGAAAATGCTCTTGCCTTGACTCAGGATAACAAAGGAAAAAAAATTCCCCTTCTAGCACATCAATGGAGGCACGAAGGGGACACAGCCTCTCTTCAGAGAAAGGGGGAAAAAGATACATTAGGAAGCCAAGTACATCTTTCAGAAAATTATGTTAGCCTGACTTTAAAGTGATTTGCTGTGCTGCTGGTCTTTTTTAAAGTGACTTGATTTCAGCAAAGTAGTTTGGCAGCATTTGTTTATTCCAGCAATACTTACTGAAAAACTCAGTTTTCTAAGCCTTTATTCTACCTTACACAAGTAAAACCAGAAAGAAAAGGGGGCTGAAATAAAAATAGGACGTGTCCCTATCCCTATAATTCTTTCATGTAAGTTCCACAGTGTCAGAATCAAACTGGCATAAAGGGCAGAATCTGTCCTCACTCTACAGTAAAGCAGCTGCCACCAATGGAAGGGGAAAGGGAAATTCTTCACATATGGTTTGACTTGACAAATATGGCTGAGATAAAAACACAGATCCTATGAATTAACATTTGAACTTTCTTATCTTCTTAATTAAAACTATGTACACTATCCACATAATGTACATTTCTGAAAAAACTTCAGGTATCTTTGGGAAAGTTTCCTTCAAATTAGATTATGTATGTAAAATTTACTTTTGAAGCCTGCCTTTCCAAACAAATTTTCCAAATTTACTTTTTCACATAGAAGTCATAAAAAAATATAGCAAAGGAACAATGGTCTAGAGTTAACAGCAGAAAAATAAAATAAGCCTTTCGTCTCTATTTCTCCTGAGATTCTCAGAGATTATTGTTGTTTAGCAAGTATTGTGATTGCACTTCTGAACGGCACAAAAAGAAACAGACTCATTCTGTTGGTTGCTGTGGCTCTTCATACAGGTATGGTCACACACAACATCATCAAGCGTCTCCAGGTAGCATCCTTGCTCTAATTATTTCATAAGTTCCTAAGTCTGGAGCTGGGCTGAAATTGCCAAATCTTAAAGATTTTGTTCTTAACTGCAAAATACAAAACTTGCTCTACTCCAAGCGACTGTCAAGAAGATGGCACATATTTTAAAAGTTCTATTACTGAATTAAAGACTTTTACTTACTAGTGGAAGACTCCATGATGAACATTAAAAAAAAAATCACCAGAGTCATTTTCTTGAGTTACTTCTCACTTCTTCTCCAGAAAAATGAAACTGAATTGTTCTTGCTTCTCAGAAAGCCTAAGAAAAACAGATTCACAGTTCATCACAAGTGCAGTGAAACAGATTTCTTTGAGCATGTGAGCAGCGTAACTATTGCTTGGTGCTGAAGAGGGCTTTCCAAATGGGAAGTTACAATTTTTTATCATAACAGCTATTTTCATACATCAGGTAATTTATCTAGATTTTTCTTAGCAAGTTTAAATTCAGAAAGCATTGCAGGGTTTCCTTCCTCCATTTTCTTGTTCAATAGATGCATTTTACAATCTTAGAGAAGCACTCAAATTCCAAGCCAGTAGATACCTACCACAGGATAAGACAGTGCTTTTTTTCCTCTCCAAAGAACATAAATTTCGCAAGACTGGACCTTGTAGAAAGAGCTAGGAGAAACTTCACTTGCCTTCAATGAGACCAGCACAATGTTTTAGATGGGGTATGGTGATGGCTAATTTTGAGCCTGTTGGAAAACAATGAGAGACATAAAATTTTTTCTTACAATTTTGTCTATGGAAGCAATAAGCGCCAGCTGACAGCACTAACATTTCCACTGAGGGGCAGGACATGAAACAACTCATATTCAATTGCTTCATGTGTAGTCAACTGTGATTTCAAAGGCAAATGGAAAACACTACTAAATAAGACCAGAGTGGAGCATCTTCTCTGAGGTTCCTCAGAACATCAGGTTAACTGACAACCAAAGACAGAGCTAGTCCTAAAACTGTGCCTCAGTTTTGCTTATAAAACAGAAAAATTAGATGCATGATCAGCTCAGTTCAACCCCTGAAGCCAAGAGAGATACCCTTGCTTAGTCTGACCCAAACATGCCTGAAAAAACGAGACACACAGACAGAGTCGAGATGTATTTCAGAGATCTGCCAAAAGAAATCTCATTAGCAATCCATTTCTTTGGATTTAATAAGGAAACCTGTAGCAATTTGAGAAAGCACACACTTACTGTGGTAAGACACGGCCTTGAGATTTACAGTCAGAAACTTCCTGTGACCTAAAGAGTCTGAAGGCAGGAGGCTACTGCATTTCCAGCAGTATTCCAGAATGACACTGAATTGTGTAGATGCTTTCCCTCTGAGTCTTTCTCCTCAGTTTTTTAAAAGTGTGCCACCATCCCATAAAGCACTGCAACAAGATGAAGGAAGTGTTTCACATCTCTTTTTTCAGACAGACTGGTAGGCAGATCCAGATTTAGAAAGCTAGAAGAACTTGGATTCTTAGTACTACAACAAACAATTTTAATGGGTCATACTGTAAACTTGCCAGGCCTGGTTTCAGTTCCCTACTACATACGGATTATCAAGATCCTACACTTCACAAGGAAAGAAGGGCCTGTCTCTTTATTTTAATCTCTTGAATTTACCTCCCTTTTCCATCCTATAACATCCAGAAGAAATACAACTGTTAGAGACTATAAAACTATGATCCACTACATCATTTATCACCAGATTTTTAATTCTAAATCCAATTCTTTTTTGGTATATCACATCAGCTCACAGTGGGAGTTTTGCTGAATGCACACAGTATAATGCAATCTACTTAGTAATAACCAGGTTTGATATTCATGACTACTCTTAAAAGCAAAACACAGGACCTTAATATTACTCTCCCATTGCTGTTGAACATGTTCAATTTGTCTGAAATTGTTCTATTGTAGGCTAAAAGTATTTACATTTGAGCCATACAGTTTGCAGTACTCTTCAATATAAAGCTCCAAGGGGGGAAAAAAGAGAAGAAAAAAAAATGTGAAAGTCAGCTAATAAAGAGAATCTTTGAGGAACAGAATAAGATTTTTAATTTTCAGGAAAAAAAGGAGAGTTATTTTAAAGTAAAACAAAGATTCTATGTCTAATAAAGGGGTAAAGAAATACTCAATGGGCAAAATGCTAAGGCAATAGTAGGGAATTACAGTTTCAATGCAAATTTTTTAAATCACCAATTATCTATAAGGCTCAATAGCTTTAAGCTTTCTTTTCAAATGTTATACATGTTTAAAAACACTGATGGAGTTTTAATAATAAAAATGGTTCTTAAAAACATTTGTGAAAATGTTTTTGTGAAAAACATGTGTTTTTGTGAAACCAACAAAAACAAACCTTAAGCTTAAACAAACTGAAGGTTTAAGTTCTGTAAAGTACATTAATGATATCTCATTAACTATTCTGTGTCTTTAAGCACCATTACAATTATTCCTCATTTTTACAGAACCACCAGATTTTGGAATGAAAGGGAGATGATACATTGAAGTGGTTGATCCTCAGTTTTGGTCAAGTAACTCATTTTGGTCAACACTTTTGGAAAACTCAGTTTGATCCCAAGGGGTTGTGACTTCATTTGTCTAAAAAACCAACAGATTCCTCTGAACATCAGACTGTTTGAACAATCATTTTGGGGTCAAGGGAGAAAAGCACTTATATGCCCTCTGTCAGAATGGCTTCTTGTGGTATCTAAGTATTTTTTAAAATATCACCAGATAGTGCCATAATTTGAAGACATTCATGAAGAAAATAAAAGTATTTAGCAAACAGTTGTCTTAACCATACTTGGTCCAGGCACCATTCTGCCAGGACTGCAATTTGTTGGTAAAAATGAAAATCCACCTTAATTTCAAAGAATGTAAGTGAAGTTGTTTACTTACTATGCAAGTCTTACCAGGTGGAAAGCGGATGCAGAAGTAGTCTTTCAAACTCCAGAGAGCTGCAGCTTGTACTTATAACTCTTCTGAACCTCATTCATCAATGAAACAGAGTAGTCCCACTCAGCAAGTCAATATACAGACAGCTCAATCTGAAAAACCTCCTGAAAACGAAAAGTAGACTTTCTCACTTTGTGAACACCTGACTGCAGGGAGGAAAACAGAAAAGGTAGATGTAAGAAACTCATTTTTACATTAATGGAATGCAAACAGCGAGTCCCTAATATTATTATTTTTTCTAAACAAGGTCTTTGAGGGCTGATATACAAATCTTTTAAGCACGATCTTTTGCTCCCACCCGCATAAGCCCCTACGGACGGAGCCCATCCTCCTCCAAAGCCACCCAGGTGAGGAGGAAAGGGTTGCAGACAGCCCAGAGCGGGCGACCTGGCAGTGCCAGTGACGAGCCGTGTGCTGAAATAAGCCGCTTTCAGGGCTAAATTATTTATGACAGCTCTGTAATAAAGAAAAAGTGTATCATGGCCCCCAAGAGAGGTGTCCGAGACGAGTGGCTTGGGGGTGCGCGGGCAGTGCCCCGGACAAGGGAAAGGCGGCAGGGTCGGGGACAGGCAGGGTGGGGGACAGGCGAGGGCCCCGGAGAAGTCCCCAGACAGCGAGCGCCGAACCCCTCACGCCCGCAGAGATGCCCTTGGGAGCAGGCACTCGGCTTCTCCCAAAGAGGGGAGAAGGAGCCGCCCGCCCCCAACCCTCGGCTGGCCCAGCCCGCCTGCCCTCCGCTGTTCCCCCCTGCCCCTCCGAGGCCGCCCCGCCGCCCGGGCCCTTCCTGCCGGAGGAGGTGCCGGCGGGGGCTGCCCGTTCCTGCGCGGGGTGCGGGGGGGTCCGGGAGGGCGCGGCGGGGCCGCTTCCCGGTGTCGCTGGCAGGCAGCGGTGCCAGGGGCCGGGGCCGGGGTCGGGGTCGGGGTCGGGGTCGGGCAGCAGAGCGAAGCAGTGCCAGTCTTACCGAGGGCGCTGGGCTGCCACCCGGCCTGGGCGAGACCCTGCGGTGCGCCCCGCGAGCAAAGGCAGGGATGATCAACCTTTCCAGGGGACGGTGGGGGGGGAGGGAGGACGCCTTCGCTCTCACAACCTCCCAGGGGAAGAAGAGGCGTGAGGAGGTGATGCCTGCCGTTGTCTTTACCAGAAACGCCTCTTCCTCCGTTTTTGTGCTGAACGCCCGTTGTAGGACTCTTTTCCAAGAAATGTGGTGGAGACAGGATGGAAGGTTAGGAACGAGTATATTAGGCTAAGTATACCACCTTTATCTCTGCTACAACTTCCTCTCCAGCTCTCTGGCTGATTTGAGAATGAGGACGTGGAAAGAGCTAAAACCGAAAGGCTGATATTCTGCAAGGACTACAAAACACACACACACATAAAAACACAAAACCAAAAAAACAAACACCACACCCCCCAAAAAAAGAAAAAAAATTACAAAATAGTGTCTAGAGGAAAAAAGACCCGACAAAAGACATGATCCTACGATGTTTTTATAAGAAATGTCCTCATGTTAGTGCTATTTTTTTCTATGTTACCATCTCCTTCAGGGGGAGAGTAATGTGAACTTTCAAGACATGAAACATTTTATAGCTCCATTATTGCAAAAGGAGTGTATATATTCATTTCTAAATAAGCCTTCATGCCAGTAGTTGAGCTGGCTTTTTAGCTAAATGTTGATATATTGGAACAATAGCTCCATCAGGAGCTTCTGAGTTTCTGATGTGCCTGAGTAAATGAATGCTTGCCACTGTTAATTACACAAATAGTTTTTTTGCTAAGTACTGTGCAATGATTCACTATACTTCTAAACAAAGTTACTTTGATAACGGCAGGAAAAAATCATTCCCTTAGGAATTACCCAGGACAACTGTGAATGTGGAAGTTTCCAATTGCAACAGATGTCACTTCAGAGGTAAAAGAAGCAGGTTACACTAAAAAGGACACACAGCTGGGTTTCTTGCATATTTTCATTGCCGAGGTGAACCAAAGAAACCCTGGGGAATTTGACTCTCTCACCTCATTTCTTGTCCTCGTCACAGATTGAAATAATATGTATATAACAACAATCAGACCTTTGGATAATGTAAATCAGCACAGCTCCAGGAAAGTCAGCTAAGAATCTAACTCACTATAGCTGCTTTAAAAATTTGTACAAGATACTTTGTGGTATTTTTGGGTTTAGGACTTAGTACTTGATTTTAAAACTTAAAAGCATGTCATAAAAATTATAATGATTTTACATGACAGTCTCAAAGCTATATAGCACCCAACAAATAAAATGATGAAGTAAAATGTCATCAGCTTTTTACTTTCACAAACCGAGTCTTGTTAGTGACAGTTCGGAAACTTTTTTTTTAACTCACTTTTTTGTAGAAGTATTTTCCATGAGTTGTTCTCACATTCTTTTGGTATCATATCCTTCTGAAATACTCTCAAGTTTCTAAACTTTCATCTGCACCAGAAAGTGCTGTGTTCAAGTGGTCTTTTCAACTATTGTCATAGTTAGTCATAGCTTTGTGGTATATGAATGTATATGAAAGGAGAATAAACTTTACACTTTTTACTCCTGAGACTGATACAGTTTTAATGAAATCATAGGCACATAACAGAGAAATTACTAAAAATAGCTACAGCTCAAATTTTCAATTTGAAAATGCCACAACAAAAGTGAAAGTTTGCATTAATATTGGAAAACAGATTTTTGTATGAAGCTCTGACCACCTGACCAACTAGCCAGGGAAGACGAGGTACTTCTCACAGTTTTTCACATCTTTCTTTCCATCCAACATACACTATGCCGAGGTACTAGCTGAAAAACCTAAACTGTGAAACTTTCCACCATATATTGCAATGTGTCCAACTCTTGCAAACACAGTCTAAACCTGTTTGCTTTTAGCTGGCAATAATCCATTTTAATCTACTTCTTTTATCTCTATATACCAGTTTTATTAATTCTTAAGCTATATTTGATAGTTTTTTTTCAGCATTATTGGTCCTTGATGTCAAAAAGCAGGTTACAGACTGACAATGTGTCTGTTAAAGCCTCATATGTTTCTCAGAAATTTTAAAGTACACAAGTTGAAAGTTTTCAAACTTTGTTCTGCATCAGAGCATCACAGAATAATTCAGGTTGGAAGGAGCCTCTGGAGGTCCTTGGATCCAGCCTGTCGTCAGAGCACTTACAACTGAGATCCAAATACTTAGAAGGACAGAGATTTCACAGCCTTTCTGGGCACATGTTCCAGCATTTGACCGTGCATATGGTGACTTTTTTTTTCCTAATATGTAATATAAATTTCCCATATTCTTACTAATGCTGGTTACTTTTTTTCCCATCTCTGGTATCCTTTAAGAAGAGTCCAGCTCTGTAAATTCTCTCTGTCTTCATTAGATTCTTGTAGATAGAAATAGGGCCTCTTATCTTCTCCCTGAATGACCTGCGTTCTTGGTGGTCTTTCCCTGGACTCCACTGTCAATGCCTCACTTGTACTGGCTTTATTCCATCTCAGATGCAGTACTTTGTACATGCCTTGGATTAAATCTTGTGGGTTTCCCATCAGACCATTTCTTCAGCCTGTTGCTGTCCAAAACAGCAGCCCTCTGTTCCAGTGGGTCACCTATCCCTCCCCAGTTTGATCTTCTGTCTGAAAATCCACTGCTTGTGCAGTCTGTCCCATTGTCAAGGTCATCAATAACGATGCTCAATAGTATTGGTGCTGATATCAGTCCCTGAGGGATACCTCTGGTAATGTGCTGTGATCTGAGGTTTGTATGTTGGTCCCCCATGGACTTTGGTCCCACTCACATTTGCAGAATTATCTGTTTGTCATTAACAGAGATTGTACCAAGGCCCTTGCTCAAAACAAGGTATGCAACATCCTGTGTTCTCCTACTTTCCACAGCACAGCTGGATAAGCATGATGTGTTTCTAAAACAATAGCTGTAGTTTTTCAAACCTTGAAAGAGTCAGGAATATAAAGTTGTAATTCAACAGAATATACTATCAATTTTATATATCATCTTCCAAACATAATTTATCCAATGCTGTAAGAAATTAATATTGCATATACCACAAATAATACCTTGCTACAAAAACTTTCAAAAACTTCTAAAAATTCCTTTGAGTGGTCAGTCTTTTGGGCTTCACAACCATGTGAACTGTGTAAGAACATCAAATCTCAATGCTATAGGAAACCCCAAGACCATTAAATATGTTCACACAAAGGCCTTGTGTATATTAAATGCATAGGTGGTGAGGGCAGAACATTCTGCATGCTGTCTGAAGTTATCCTATTTCGTAGTAGCAGGAGCTGATTTTCTTACTTTAGAAGTCACCAGAGGCTTCGCCACTAACATCAGTGTGAGATGAATCACTGCTTATTCCTGTCCCTTCTTTATTTCTTTATTGCCAGCAATGCAGTGTATACTTTTTTGTATGTGAAGTATCCACTGACAAGGCTTTACAACTGAGGGCATACAACTGTGTATGACTGTGGTTATATGGCAAAGAGACATTTTTGTTCCTTTAAAATATGTTATTATAAGAGAGTCAACGCTGTATTCTTAATGCCAAATTCTGAGCTGCTGTTTACAAGTTATACCATGTGGGTTTCAGGAGATTACAGCAATATGCACACCCTGAAAAAATTCCCTGTGTTTAATTCTAAAGCTGATATACTAATTTATAGCTGATCAGAATCTCTGAGTGCCTGTTCACCCACGAGATGGCAGGATGACTCCGTTCTATTAAGAAGTTAGAGCACATCTGCACTCAGGAGTCCCTTGAGGTGCCAAAGCCAGAGAAGTACAGGTCAGAAATTAAAGGACATTAAATTTCTATGTGGACAGTATAGTTCTCTAACAAAATTGCCTTGGTTCTCTTTATTTTAAGCTTAAAATATCCGAACTGCATCATCTTTATGCTTTAAATGTTTATTCCTATGTTGTTATTTCTATGTTTATTTATTTCTATGTTGAAAGCAGAGATTTTTTTTTGCACAGGGCAGACTGTCATTCTGTTATTCCACAAGGGCAGACTGCTTCATGTAAAATAGCCAATTTTAATTAAAACCATGGGGTTTTAAATTTTGATTCTTTGTAAGTTACATATCACAAAATCATAGAATGAGGGTGGAAGGCACCTCTGGATGTTATCTGGTTATCTAGCAAGGTTATCCCCTTGCTCAAGATTGCCCTGTGTCCAGGCAGTTTTTGAGTGTTTCCAAGGCTGGAGACTCTACAACTTCCTGGGCAACTTTGCCAGTGCTGGGTCACCCTCACCACCCTCACCATAAAAACACCTGTTTTCTGGTGTTCAGAGGGAACCTCCTGTTTTCATGGTTGTGCCCATTGACCCTGGTCCTGTCACTGGGCATCACTGAGAAGAGCCTGACTCCCTCTTCTTCATACCCTCCCTTCAGTTGAGAGATTTCTATTCACCAGGCTGAAGAGTCCCAGCTCTCTCCACCTTTCTTCATAGGGGAAATGCTACAATCCCTTTACCAACTTCATGGTCCTTTGTAGTACTCTCTCCAGTATGTCCATTTCCCTCTTCTACTGAGGAGCCAAGAACTGAACACAGGACCAGATGTGGGCCTCAGAACTGCTGAAATTGTAATGATGCTGTAAAAATATTCCACAGTTCTTTTTGTGCTTTCTCTCTAACACTACAAATGTGATAACATCTGTGCAAAGACGTCCATTTTAATGCATAGCTCAGATTTCTTTACTAATCATCAAGGAATACCAAAAAATCTGTGACAACTGCAGCATTTTTTACTCATTATTATGGTCACATACTTACCCCCTGGTTTTGTAAATGTTATTTGCCACTGCCTGTATCTGCCCCTTTTCTTTCTGTCAAGGCCGTGCTGTCCACTGCTGGCATACCACAATAAGAGTTGTCAGGTTTTGCTTGATTACTTTCCTCTTTTTGTCCTGGTTGACCATGATACTTGATACAAAAGTAGTGTCAGTACAAGAGCCATTTAGTGAGTTTGTTTTTCACCACTATAACTACATGTCTGGCTAACAGAAGTCAACGAGACAGCAGTATGTTTCAGAGTAATTTGGTTCATTTCTGACCCCATGCACTTTCTCATTGTACCTTCTCCTGATCCTTTTCCAACTTCAAAATTCATCCTAGACTTTTGTTTCCAAGATACTCACTTATCATCTTTTCTTGTTCATCAGATGCCCAGGACTCAGACTGTATTAAGAACTGATCCTATAATAATCTCGGAAATGAATGTTCTGTCTTGCTCAGAAGCTTATGTGAAAAATCTTCATAATATATAACAACAGACTTTCCTGCTTTTACGTATGCCTTAGTATTCTTCCTGTGGGAAGAAATGGTACTATAGGAATAAACCAAGTCTCCTACACTGGCATGAATCATTTTGGGGAGCTTCCACAGAGACAGTAAGGTTTGTCCAGAGGGGATCCTTAGGAATAGGACCCCACACTACACACAATCTAACAAGGCAATAACAAAATGCAATATTAGATGCTTTATACCTGGGATGAAGTGAGCGATGACAGAGTGAGCACTTGAAAATATAACTCATCAGTGAAAAGATGTTTGATTTGCCATACATCTTTTATTATAATGTTGAAAAATATCTGTACATTTATTGCATGCACATTTTTCTACTCCAAATAGCTATCCATAAGCCTGAGGATCCACTTATCCAGTAAAAACTTACAGTAAAAGGAAAAAACTTGCCTGTTCTGTAATCCAGGGCTTGGTAACAAGAGGTGTTCTGCATCGAATTTTCACTTTTTTTAATCTATTCTGTAGCAAGTCTGAAGCTGAAAACAGAGCCTGCTTTGACAGTAAGAAATTTCCTGGTTTTAAAAAGCTAAAAAGACAAAAGTTTCCAGAGATATCTTTACTAGAATACATTTTGTTCATATTTCCATGAACTAGGAGGAGATTTGGCTCTATCTTTTAGGGTATTCCCTATCATAAGTATAACTAGGCATGAGTTCAAAGTAGGGGAAAAAAAAGTGGATATTTCTTGTTATTAAAAAGCAGTTTATTGTCTGAGTACCTTAAAGGAACGCTATCAGTGTCCAAAAGACCACTCTAAATTTTAAAATGTTATTTCCTTATGGAGATCATAGAATCACAGAGTCACAGAATATTCTGAATTGGAAGAGACCCACAAGGATCATCGAATTCAAATCCTGACCCTGCACAGGACCATCTCCAAGAGTCACACCATGTTCCCAAGGGTATTAATAGCAGTAACCGCATGGCCCATTGTACCTGAAAGATTTTAAATTTCCCCTTTGTGTGAAATTGATTTTAAGATATATATAATATTAAAAAGTACATATAAATATATATCGGTGTATTTATTTCCCTTAACACTGCATTTTTAATGCTGTATTCACATCAGTCTTAAAAGAGCTTTTAGTGAGGCATCTCTGCTAAGGAAAACTAAAATTTCATGGTGTGAGTATCACAATTGAATAAAAAAGAAATGTGGCAAAAAAAAGGGAACTAAAGCATAACATTATACTTTCTAGTGGCGTAATACACATTATATTTTCTAGTCCAATAATACAGAAAGCACTTAGTTTCATCAGCTGCATTAGAAACCTGGAAGGCATTCACCTATTCACAATAATAACTTTCTCTTATATTTACAACTGTATATAAAAAGAGTATAGGTACCTTTAGCTTCATGCAAAATTCTCCACACAATCTAGAATTAGTTCTTCACAGAGCTCTCATACCTATAGAAACTTCCCTCAGTTCCCTAGACCTCTTCTATCAATTTATCTTGTCATTATTCAATTGAAGGACTGAAAAAAGTTCAAAAAAAGTAAAAAAAAAATTAATAAAAAAAACCCCCACAGCCAGACTTCCAGACTGTAAAATCACGTACCTTCTGAGAGGAAAAACAATTGCAGGCATGTAGTCCATCCTGAGAGTTTAGCAGTATTTTTGTAGACGGTTCACCCAGCGTTATCTGCTTGTGAGGACTTGAGTGCCGGTGGCATGTGGTACCTCACCTGCTTCCAGAACTTAGAATTGGGTGACTGTGGGTGCACAGTGTGCTGCTCTTTCCATTTGATGGTACCTTGCTGCTTAATAATAAACCTAAGAGATTCCTGAAGCTTCCCATAAGTCCCAATTCTCTCCATTTCCAGAAGGATCACCTTTGTGTCATTCTGAATGAGGGCATTGTATAAAGCAATGTGTTGATCATAGGTATGTTCTTTACAATTAACCAGCTGGTGTGTTAGAAGGATGATCAGCCGTCTACTGCTCTGCATCCTCTTCTCAATTGCACTGACAGTATCTAGCAACATACAAGAAAATTATGAGACTCTGATCTTTCTTTTAGAACCCTTTTGTGTTTGGGCTCTTCATTTTCATTGCTTTTTAACAAAAAATAACTTTTGTCTCACTTCAGCCTGGTACAGTTTATTTATTGGAAGAAGACTTTGTACCCCAAAAAAGAAAAAAACAACAACCAACCAAAGGGGGAAGCAGGGGGAAGAGAAAAGCAAAACAAACAAAACCCACAAAACCACAAAGCTTGCCTTTCAAACGTTTTCTTTGGTTGTAACAGTAATATTTTCACTGATCTTAAGAATTGCTAGGAATTTTTAGTCTAATGACCTTAGAGTCAAGTTCTGTAGATTTGGATTGCATCAAATAGTGCTTTGGTAAACAGTAAGGAATCATGTTCTATCAAGTTCAGTGCTTTAGAGACTGATCTAGCAATACTTACCCATGAAAACTAGTAATGTGGAGACTTTGGGGTGACTTGCTTCTAGGAAGCTTATTTACAGGCAGGGAGAGTGTTGATTCTCCTGAGTTATAGCATGCTAAGCTATACACTAATCTCTGCATTGGGTTGGCATTCACCCTGCAGGGGTGCATCCACACTTGCAGGGCATTTGTATGTCAGCACAACTGAAGGTGTTTAAATTTCCCACTACCACGATGGCAGACCTGATCAATGGAACTGTGACTGTGATGCTGGAGGTGTTGAACCTAGGAAACTCAAGAGCCAGCGTGGTATGGGAGAAAATTCTGGAGCAGCTTGGAAAGCTCCACATCAAGCCTCCAGGAGCTGCTTTTCTCAATGACCTGCTGGGATGTCTATGGGAGGAAGACTGCAAATGAATGCCTGTTCAGTGAAACTCTCATCTCAGTTATAAGAGGTTCCTGTGGTCTGTAGAATAAAATCTGGAGTTGTTTTGGTGGCAACATATGATGCTGGGCCAAAAGAAAGGAAGTGGGAGATCCTAGATGAAGAAATTCAATATAACAATTATTTAACAAGTCAACTGATATGCAGACATCATCAGCCAGCTGCATAAGCATCCTCTTTTCCTTTGCTGGGGGCTGCCAGCCCCTCAGTCTCAGAGGCCCAGCTTTTTCAGCTCCTTACTTTTTCAGAAAGAAAACCCTTTCAGTGACTTCTCCATTCTCTTTCCTGGCTCTGGGACTACTTCGTGAAAACAATTTACCTTTCTATAATGTTCACCAATTCAAACTCTTTTCATTTTCTTCTTTTCCTGATGTTAGGAGAACAGATACCTTGGAAGGTGAGAAAAATGAAGCTAAGCAGCTACTCCCATAGGTTTAGTTCCCATAAGAGCAACAGTTAAAAGAAAAAAATTCTTTCTCAGTTTTGAGGTGCAGTCCATTGTGCTCAGGACTGAAAGACCATGGACCTGAGGAGATACTAATTTCTTCATTTGGATTTCTCATGTTATACTTGTGGCAAGAGGAAAGATGGGGCTGCATGCTGCAAATACTTTAACCAAGGTATTCATTGCAGCCTGTTCCATGAATTTTAGAAGTTTATATAAGTTCAGAAAATATTGTGAGAGAAAAATGCATCACAACTGGTACAGAAAAAAAATCAAGCATCTGAAGTCCAGCTAGGAAAGTATGTTAGTGGAAGTATAACATAAGCTTGTCTGGTTCTCAAAACCTTTTCCAGTCCTTCGCCCATGGCCACTGTTGAAGATAGGACATTTGGCTACACAGAACATTGCTCCAGTGAAGTGCAGTCATTCCTCTGTTATTTGCTCGTGGTTTCTTGTATTACAGATACAGTGGGTCCAGAAGTGCTTTGCTAGATTCGGCAGCAAGGAATGCAGTTGGCAGGAAAATGAGACCATGAGAACAATGGAGTAGAGGTAATGTTGGTGAAACCTCCCATTTTTTGGGTAGTACTTGCGTTTGCAACTCTTCAGGTCACTGCTAGGTTGTAGAAAATGCCAATAATTGGCAAGGTCAGGAAAAAAAAGAATGCTAGTTTAAGGAAACATAATAGGAGTCCAACAGCTATGCAGTGCTGTTTATCACTCAAATCATTCTGTATAATTTTCCCTTTTACTGGAAGAACACAAGTTTCAAGTAACAAAGCTTTGCTCTGAAACCAAGAATCATAAGCATTTCTTGAAAAAATAATTCCATTTTATATACTCCCTGCAATTATTATTTTTTTCCCTAGAAATACATGGAGTTTTACAATGAAAAATATGAAAAACTATGATGCATGTTCAGGAAGAATCACAATAATTCAAAGAGGCCTTTCCTGCTTATCTTTGTTTAGAATATTTTAATTGTAGGGTTTTGGATTTGGAAACCTGATAATGAAAGGCTCAAGATCAAAAGATAAACAAGATTAGGGAGCATATGTTTAAAGTCCATCTTCCTGGAAGCAGAGAACTTTTAAGTGCTCCCAGTGGCAGGTAGATTCAAAACAGCTTTTCCACTCAATTGAAAACATTTTTTGGGCATCAAAGTGGATAAGAAAGAGAAAAGGTAAAGGCTGGAGAAGTAGGCAAGAAGAGAAAAAGAAGAACAATAGTCAACACTTGTGGCATTTTTAGATTTTTTATTAAATCAGACCAAACAAGTCAAACAGAAGTTACTCACTGTCCCAGGCTGGCTTGGTGAGTCTTTTATCTGTCACTCCTGGGTTACAGGCTTCCATTCATACCTTCACTAAGTGAAAATGTATTTGTTTTTATCCAACCTGTTAGAGCCCTTGTAGGTTACACAGTATTAAACTCAGTTGTATGCCATGCTCAGTTTTCATCATGATTTCCATCCAGCAACCACAGTTTGAGAGTAGTATCTCAAAAGAAAATATTAAACTGTCTACAATCTCCTGAAGAGGTGGTCTAAGTTTTTGTCATTGGCACTTTTGTGAGCTACTCTTAACTCCTTGTGCTGGATCTAACAACAGTCTGGCTCAGCAACTTTTGCAGCTTTTTTTTTACATTTGTGTTGCAGTGTTTTTTCTCAAGGCCACGCAGCCCTTTCACAACTCTCCAGCAGAGAAGAACATCAAGGACCTCAGCTCAGGACAGATAAATGATACCTGGCCCAGTGCAGATGACTTCAGAAATGTGTAACAGAAAATATGCTGGCTTAGGCTTCGTGCCTGCTTATTGACAGGGAGAGAAGATCTGGTCCACAGAATAAGCAGAGCACAAGATAAACAGATAAGTCAGCTCTGGAGGAGAGCAGATAGCAACTAGGTGACAGAAGTCATACAAGATAGTGTAAAGGCGTTCACATGGAATTAGCACAGATCAATTAACATGATATTCTGCAAGACAAGAAAGTGGAAATAAAGCATACCAACCCTCTCCTGAATCAATGCTGGGAATTGTGTGAAGGGAAAGTAGGTCATGTCAGTGAACAGAAGCTGAACTTCCTGTGACTTTAATGCCCTCATAACACCGGAGTGATAACAGCAAAGGTATTTCCTCAACTCAATTTGTGGTTTTCTCCTCTTTCTTTTGTTGTAGACAGCCTCACAACTAGTACTCACATTGTGGCTTTGCCCAGACAATGGCTGTGCAGTTAGGTTATCCAAAGAGCAGGTGCATGTTTGAAAGAATCGCACGTGGGGTCACATTCTCTGCACATTTCAAGGTGATAAACAATCTATTCCCCTTCCCTGTAGCTTGCTTTTCTTTGCACACTGACTAGCACTGGGTGCCCTTGTGTCACCCTGCCTGAAAAAGCAGACGCACAACTGCTGAAGAGGTGAGCATCAAGCTCGAGAATTTAAAGTGGCCTCCCAGACACCTAAAAGAGCCTAGAACCACAGTTTGCTCATGCTTGACAGGTCATTTAGTGAATTATTAGATCTGAAACTTACCTTCTCCGGGATATATATCTCTCCCATAAATACACAATTTATATCCACATTTATTTTCTAGAATTTCTGGCATGATTTGATAAACAAAGTATTCCACAAAATTAGCTTCATTGGTGTGATTTTTGGGGTAGATAACATATGCATCATATGTCTTCCCATCTGTAAGGCAAAACAAGGAAACTGTATTGTGTCGGCATGAATTAGAGCCGTCTGTTGCAAAAATTAGGAGAGAAATAAAAATATCAGTCTTTGAAATAGATCTAAGAGGGAAGTTCCTGCCTATCTAAATAATGTATATTATTGGATGCATGTTTGGAAATTAGCGACTGTGCACATTTGATGTTTTCTATGCTCAGTTGTTATGTCGTGTGTTTGTACCTTTGGAGAACCTGAATTTCATATTGTGAAGGCTGAATCCTAGAGTAGGATTTCAATTGATCAATGCATATTACCATGAAATAGAGATGAAGCTCAGCATTTGGTATTTCAGTGATACAATGGGCTGTTAATAGACTTCGTCTCTCAGGACTTAAATTCTTCCATCTTGAAGAAATTGCTTATCATTACCACAAGATATCATACTTCTGAGTAAAAAGCTCCATTAAGATGTAGTCTTACAGTCAGAATCAAGTACAAAGTTAAATATTTATTTAGCTCTTTGCTTCATTTCTCTCAAATATGTTTTCCATTACAGCATTTTTATTCTAATCCCAAATGTTTAATTTCTTTCTTTCCAGGGGAGATCCTTTCTTTTGTTCCTTTCTGAGGTTCTTGCTCAAACCATCCTAACAATAGATCCCACGGGGAACAGCTTTCTTTCTCAAATCTTACTCACCATCCTTGATGGAGTAGGGCTGAAATATCTCCCGATACAATAGGACAATATCAGCTCGGAAGGACTGATAAAGTATAACCGAAACTGCTATTGCAGCTAGCAGAACTAGAGATCCTGTGATCAAGAGGACATTACAAAGAACCACTGCAAAGGAGAGGGATATATTGTTAGCCACAGAGAAGTTAACCCATGTGCTGAAGATTTAGCTTGTCATATTCTTACTTCTTTTACAGCTTTAAGGAGCTTAAAACAGGGATGATAAAGCTTTTTCCTTCCCCAGTTCGTGTTGCCAACACAGAGACCCCTAAACTAGAAGTGTATTAAGCAGTAGATAATTAGTATTTACTTTGTTGAATCCAGACCTATTTATACTAAATACCGCAGCTGACAATGACATTTAAGTATTTTGTAACTTTGTAAAAGTGTTAATAACACAACCAGGAACAATGTTCAAACATTTTGTAAGACATCTAAGCCTACGCATGAAAACTGTTAAGTGTCCACACAAGGACAAGGCCTCTGGCATGATTGCACAAACAAGGTACAAGGAAGCATGATGTGCATGTAATGAAATCTGCGATGTAAGAACTAAGTACATAAAACAAGAAGGAAAACAGAACATGTCCTGGTTGTAAAAATATAATAAACTGCGCTGAAGTCAGATGATGTTCTCTCCTGCCTTTTTCTTTAAAGAGGATCAAGGAGCATAAAATAGCAAAATAAGAAGAAACAGGAAAGAAAGTAGCCAGCCACTTTAGCTCCCGCGTCCCTCATGGACGAGCTCCTGAATCTCTCAGCACGTTCACCTCAGAGATGAAGATTTATCATGGATAGATTCAGACTAGATACAAGGAAGAAATTTTTTACCTTTACAGTGGTAAAACACTGGAACACATTGCCCAGAGAAACTGTGAAAGATGTCCTTCCAATGGCTGAGGTGTTGGGACTAGATAACCTTTAAAAGTCCATTCCAACCCAAGCCATTCTATGAATTTATAATTCTGTAAGGAAGGCAGTCACCAACTCTGTGCTAGTCTAGGACATGATTGTGATTATCCCTCTTCTAGAAGAGAGCTGCATTTCTATCGCAACCCAGATAGACACATTTTTGCAACAGTCCATTTTTCCTCATGTTCTGTGATTCATGGAGCAGAAGTCAAGCCAGATATGTGCATCTTCTAGATAACATCTAGTTCTGCTCTAGCAAGAGACAAGGTGAGGTAGAAGCAATGTCGTTTCATACTCATTTCAAACTAGAAAGATAGAATCTTAATCTACAGACTATTACAGTCATAAGCTGAAGAAGATTCTTGACCTATGTCCTGGATATACCAGGATTCAGTATTGAAAACACTATGAATTCCAGATGGCCAAAAATGAAATTAAAATATCAAAAGCTTTCTACAGCAATTGCACAAAAAAAAGATGCAGGGAAGATTAATGGCAATTGTTTCATAGTAGAAATCTGTTCGTAAGCAAATGAGAAAGATACCAAGGTCTTCTCCACTTGGTTGTAACATGTAGACTCAGACCAGTCCCATGTACATTTTTTCTCTCACAACTAAATCCTTTAAGAGATTTCCATGCACAGTCTACCATCTTTACATAGTTATTTGTGCCCAAAAGGATAACTCACTATCCTATAGTTGTAATGATATAACTGCTCTGGGGACTTTTCTGTGGTTCAGATCACTGAAATTACTTGGAATAAAAAATATAGTCCAATAAATTGGATTAGGTGATGAACTTTTACCCCCAAAAAACCACACATGAAAACATCTAGAATGTACATCTCATCTGCATAAAAGGGCCCATCTGTATTTTTATTTTACTATGCCCTGAACTGGAATATCACTAGAAGCATATATCCCTTCAGTATTAAGAAGAGATTTGAGGTTCATTGCAATTTCAGAATTATTTTAGCTGAGGAGAGACACACTCTGTTGAACGTTGACTACATAAATTTAAATACATTCTAGCAACACAAACATGGAGATCAGCTGTGGCATCTTCACTGTAAAGACCTTTCACAGCATCCCAACCCATGGTGGGTGATTATATGTCCTGCTAGCAGCTCCACACAGCTAAGCCTTATGCATTCAGAACAGGGGAACAGCCTTTCCAGGCTTTTCGTCCTCTGCCTCCAAAACGCACAACGGACATGTGACTGCAGCAACAGACCACTCACCAGCACTTGTGGAGGTGCATCTTACAGCAGGCCAAACAGTCAGTTTTACTTTCCTCTGCAGAAGAGGCAGCAGATTGGAAAACGCTACAGATTGTATGCAGCCAGTAAGTATGCTACCAAGTGAACACACTGACCACCACCAAGGAGCAGTTTGAGACCTTTTGCTTGGACTTGGCACTACATGAATGAAGTAAGATAAAATATTTAGCAGTGAAAAGTCTCTTATTGAAATTTACAGGTTTCCTGTGCTTCTCTGGGAGGTATGGATTAAGGCAGTGTATTGAGTAGTACTTATAGAGGAAACCTAAAAATATTAGTGCAAGAGAAATTCTGCTGAATAGGTATAGAAAGAAAGAATTTAGAAGTACATTTTCTCTTTTCTCGGGTAGGATGTGAGGTCAATCTAACATGATTTTCACACTCTTCACATTTTTTCTTTGATATTTAAAGGGAGAAGGAAACATCAGGATTGTGATGAAGCTTACCTCACCAGTGCTAAACCTGAGGAAAACACCTTCCAATAAGATGGAATTGAGCAAGAAAACAACTAGCTCCTTTTATGGTGAAGTTTGGCCATTTTGTATTTTTCACAGTGCCACATGATGCCTATGAAGGAATCTTGTCTTTATCGACCTCTTCAGGTTTTATGATTTCATCCATTTTCCCAGTCAATACACACACACACACACACAATGAGGAAAATCCTATCACTACCTGGTGAGGACAACCCAAACATCAGAACTTGACACTGTTTCTTATTGATTCATTTGTTGACAGTGTGCCTATCACAACATTACAGTTACTGTTGTAATGCATTGTCTCTATAAACATCTAGAGAAGAAACAGAATCCAACAACAACTTCTGCAATTACAAACCTAAAAAACTGTTTCTGTTTGGTTTTGTACTGATTAGACCAAGGCTGGAAAAGAAGTGATAAATTTCCTGTGTTTATGCAGCTTGTAAAGCATCAGACAAGAATTCCACAGAGGTCTTCCTGGAAGAGCAAGTTCAATTCCTGGTAAGACTAGCTTAGCCTTTCATTTCTCTGGAATAAATCAGCTGTCTTCAGCACAATGGGAGCAAGTGCCACAAGCCCCTGAACAAGGTTGAATAGATCCTGTTGTTCCATTTGACTTTGCTGCATCATTTAGTGGCAGAGTTCATGAGTAGGCTGTCTTCTATTTATTTACATTCAAGAGTGATGGGAATACAGAACTATCAGCTCATAAGAAACAATATTGGGGAGGCCAGAGAAAACAAGCCAGGTTTCCTGACGAACTCCAGAGCAGTTTTTTCTAACTTCTCTGACTTCTAAGAAGGATCCACTTCCAGACAGTAAAGACAGAGATCTGGGTCTGGAATTCCTGTCCACATCAGTCTACCAAATATGAGTCAAAAGGTTAGGTTCAGCATTAAGTATCTTTGAGAAAGAACAGAGCTGATGCTTTGGGCTGAACTTTATCTCTGCTTTGAATAACTGGAATTTCTGGTGCTCTTCAGAGAAGAGGGTTCATGCCATAAGGATTTGTGGTCCTCTGGATATTTTATATTTCCACATGAATAAGAACTGAGGAATGCTCAGGGAGAAATAAGATGATGCTTGTGGGTCAGACACATGAAAAGCCACCTCCAGTTATTTAACAAGCCCTGAATCAAGATAATGAACTAAAAAGTAGTGACAGCTTATATATTAAAAAAGAGGGAAGGAGTTGAAAGGTATTTAGAAAGTCCATATGTTCCCTAGCAGACAGGTTAAAAGGGATTCTGAGGGGATCTTCCTGTCCTCGCTGGTAGAAGGAGATAACACATTCACTGTTTCTCCAATTGTTTGTCATTGCCTCTGTCTCAGGAGCTAACAGCTTCCCTCCCTCTGCCAGCAGAGATACTTTCATGAGCATTCATGCACTGCAGTTATCAACGAGATGGACTGACATGAACAGTGTAGATGATTAATTTCCTCATTCTTGAGAGGTGACATCTTTCAGCATAAGAGGTACCAAGCAGCTGCAGAGGGCAACTGGGAGTAGTCTAGCAGGTAGAGTCTCTGTCTCTTGCCAGGTGTGCAGCAAGACTAGCTTTGACTTTGCCATGAAAGATGGAAGAAAAGGGAATTACAAGTTGTCACAAATTTATTAGCCTTAGTGACCAGAGGCAAACTACTCCAGTGACACAGAAGATTTCAGAGCATATGAGAAGACATGTCTCATGGCAGAGAGAGAATGTAAAATCTGGGATGATCACCATCTGTGGCATTAAAAATATAGTACTGAATATAAATATAGTACTGAAATGAGATGTGAAGTGAAGGTGTTAGGGATGTGTTGGTGAAAGATTCAGAAGATACCAAACAGCTTCAGGCAAAGAAGGGACAGAAAGGATGGGAAATAGTGTGGAAGATGAGTTCCATATTGACTACGGGTGATCAAAGTCTACGCAGGGGTTGAATAAGAAAAAAATTGAGAAATCTTCCACAGCAGAAGGAGAAGGCAACCTCTAAATGTAGCAGCAGCAACAGCAGCTGAAATATGCAGGGACATTAACACCTCCTAATGGAGGCTAGAATACAGCTGCAGAGATTGTCAAAATTCATAGTCAAATCCTCATTAAATTGTTCTCATGAAACAAAGAAAGAGTTTGCCTGATTTCTCTGTGTCTGAAGGACATGGTGTGCGTAGTCTGGATACTACCAACTCACACGAAAAGGAGCTGACTACATTGCATTATACCTGATAACTGAGGTACTTAGGTCATATAGCTCTTTTCTACAGAGCTGATCAGCTTCTCTTAGGAACGTTTATTTCCTTTTTATAAAGATAAGTGAAAAGACACTTCAGACAGACACTTGAGATAGACACATTTTTCACAATACAGAACTTTTCTTCGCACACATACACGAATATATTCACATGAACACACCACGTATATATCCTAAGCTGGAAAATATACTTTTTTCACTGTGAAATGTCAAACAGCTTTGCCAATGACATGCATTCCTGGTAGTATTAAGAAAGTATTTTTGTTTTCCATGGGAGCAAAACCAAACAGCTCTCAACTGTGAAAGAAGGTCTTCCCTTTCTCATCACTCCTTTCTGGAATTTTTTTTTTCTTATGTGCATTGCAATTGTTTCTAAAGCAAATTGTTAGGGTCAATTATAGTGATATTATTAACAGTGAACTAGGACTTAAAGTATTTGATTATGAATCAGAAAAATAAATTTAATTCCTGGTTCCCCCCAAAAAATTTCCATGTGGTGAACTGAATCATTCTTTCAGCAGGTTTTTGTAAGACTGAACAGATACGTACGCAAAGGAGCTCTAATGCAAATGCTTACAGCATCTTTGCTTCCTCCCTGATCTGTCTCCTGTGCTGCCAAATACTATTTATCCGGTTCATTAAATGTCCCCAAATGGACTAATTTGAGTAGTAAGTGGCCCAATACCCATTCAACTCTTAATTCCTATCACAAATCTGTGCTACAAATTATGGTAATGTAACCCCTACTGAACGTCCTAAAAAAAAAAAATTCAGAATACAGAACAGGAATTTGTGTAAAAAGAACATTACAGGATAGTAGCTAGCAGGCACAAGTTGTGCTGTGGGAAACACTGAGGAGCAATCATATATTTGGGAAAAAATGCACAAAATTTTTTTCTATTAAAAACAAACACACAAACAAACAACAACAACAACCAAAAAGGAGAGCGCACATTTTTATTACACATTTACCAGATGAGAGGCACAAGAAAATCCTACAGCATTTTTATTATTCTCAGAGGGAAGCTGTCATTGTTCTAGCATAAATATTGCTCAGCTGTGTGAGAAGTGAGTGAAGAAAACTAAAGCAGAGCACAGCTGCTACTGGAGTATCATTGCTTACACCAACAGTGCTGAGGAGCAGAAGCAGACACCTTGTCAGTAGCAGCAACAAGGAGAAAGGAACAGGTATCCACACAAAAAGGGCAGAAGCAAAAGGGAGATCACAGTCAAGAGCTTTCATGGATGTTTACTGAAGATCTATGAAGAGAAAACAAAGTAAGATTTGTTGACAACAGAAGTCAAATTCAGTGATTCACTGGATGAATGTAAAATATGTTACACTCTTTTCTTCATCTCGTCTGTAATACAGGACCAATAAAGGAGTTGCATTGCTGAACTAGAGTGAGTAGAAACTGTTACTCAGTTTCCTTCCCTCTCATTGCAAGTACATTCCCACATTCAAATAGTGCAGTGCAGACCTGATATGCTTCCAGCTTCCTGAGTGATGCTACACTCACACACACTCATCCAACCAAAACATCTCCTGCCACCTTCTTTTGGAAGGAGGTGGTGCTATCCTGCTGTTACAATTCATCTACATGCCTTCTAACCCTGGCTATGGTAAGGAAAAAATGTCTAGTCCTTGAAGCTGTGATCCTGTAGAAAGTTATGGGCAGTCAAGAATACTGCAGAACATAGATCTGTGCACACCCTGTGATCATAATACACTTGATTTTACTCTTCCCACCATTCACCTGTAGAAAAATAATCCCTGTTCAAGGCCTTGACATTTATTCTCAAGGTCCTCAAGAAAAGAAAGCAGGTTTAGATTAGATATTAGGAAGAATTTATTTACTCAGAGTGTGGTGAGGCACTGAAACAGGTTGCCCAAAGAAGCTGTGAATGTCCCATCCCTGTTGGAGCTTTGAGCAACCTGGGCTAGTGAAAGATGTCCCTGCCTGTGGCAGGGAGGTTGGAACTAGACGATCTTTAAAGTCCCTTTCAATCCAAACCATTCTATGATTCTTGGTGTTTCAGCATATCTGAAGGGATAAGAAAGGAAACCATTAACTGCAGCTTCTTCTTGTGCCTTCACAGACAAAACAGCATTTTGTGCCGTAGGAATCTAACCTATGAGTGCTGGTATCAATGCTTAGGAATCTGCCTATCCCTGTTAAAAAAAAAAAAAAAAAAAAAAAAAAAAAAAAAAAAAAAAAAAAAAAAAAAAAAAAAAAAAAAAAAAAAAAAAAAAAAAAAAAAAAAAAAAAAAAAAAATCCCATAGGAGCTAAGGATCATTCTGGTCCCCACCATTTACTGCCTTGGATTTTGTTTCTGTTTCAGGTACTCCTGGTACCATGAACTCAAAAAACAAAACAAAACAAAACAAAACAAAACAAAAACCAAACCAAACCAAACCAAACCAAACCAAACAAAACACCAAGGGTAAGCCTTTGAAGTGCTACTGATGCCTCTGTGTGTCACAGAGTGAACACAGTGGCCCTCAGAGAGAGAAGATAAAGAGACTCCAAAGAAGTCACACCACTTGACATTCAGTCAAAAAAAAAGGGCACTACAGTGGATGCAGTATGGGAAGGAAGGCAGATCAACTGGCAAACCAGCAGCTGAAACTCTTATTTTTAAAGTTTGCCTATTTTCTGCCATGGTTTCACACTAGAAGCTACAGTTTGTCACAGTGGAGAAATAAGGTAGAAAAAGGATACTCTTATCACAGGGCTGATACAGTCACACTCTGTTCTGTACATTTCATCTGTCGCCTGATACTGAGTTATCCCACACACACACAACAGAATTTACCCCAAGGACTTTCAGCTATGAGAGTTTTGCCACTGGCTTGAATATAGGGGGAAGACGCAGGCTGTTTTTCTTCTTACTAGGAGAAACTTTCTTACTAACCAAAACAATAAACTCACCAACATATTTCAAACTGAGTTCAAAGTGTAAAAATCGAAATGAAAAATCTTACCCTCAAATTGTGTTTTGAGTTCTAATGTCACTGTGACTCTTGTGTTGTACATTGTATTCAGTGCTATACACGTGAAATTTGACTGCAGATCCTCCTTTTTTACTTCAGTTATATTCAAAGTGGTCTCTTCATAGTATTCTTGCTCACTTCCTTCAAAACTAACAGAGAAAGAAAGAGCTGGTACATTCGTTTTAATGGCTAGGCACAGTTTGCATAGAAGAAAGATTATTCTGTTTTATATACACTTACAAATGTGTTTCTTCTTGAAATCTTGTAAAATCACAGTGTTTCGCTGGGATGTTATTCACATCCCATCTGACAGCAGACACTGGCTGTTTCTTAATCCCCAGGAGGGCCTGACATTTCAGAGACAAAGCAGTACCTAATCAAGACAGAGAGATGTAAACATTCCTCGATGAAAAATGTAATTTTATTTTTCTCATAACATCTTTTTCTACAACATGACTTGTGAGTTTTGTCTCAATGAATTTGACATATTTTTCTGAAATACTGCTGACAAAATGATGCGTAGAAAAGACACAAAAAGAAAGAGTAAAATGAAATTTAACAAAAGATCTAGTAAGACACCAAGGATTACAAAAGGAATTATTTATATTTATTAAGATGAAGAAAAGGTACATTTTACTTGTGATGTGTAACACATGTAATCAGCTACTGAGAAACATGGAAATTATATGCTGATTTACACACCAATGTATATAGGCAATATGACATTTAAATTTTAGTATTATTTTGCATAAATCTTCTGTGCAGAATCTTATCTTGGATTTTATACAAGCTGGACAAGAGTAAAGTAAATCTGTCCAAGCAAAATTAAAACAGGAAATTATTTATTATGTATTTGCCATTAGGAAATGTTTGTTCCAAAGTAAGAGTCACCATTTCACTAAAAGAAGGTATAAATAAAACATATTAAATTGTTTCCATGTAAATCTTCATCTAAGGACTTTGATAAGATTATCAAATCTTATGATTAAATCATGAATTGGTATTTGAGAGCATGGAGAAATCCCTTCAGCTTTGCAAACAAGAGACAATAGTATCAGTACAACAAGTGGGTTCTCTATGTAAAGTGAATTTGCTCCATGTAAGCAGTGCCAGATTACTTATTGTCCCAGACGGGTAGACAGAGCCCACAGTGCACTAGGCCCTGACCACCTTATTAGCGAAAGCTTTTCCTGGAGAACAAATCTAATTCACATCTAACAATGTGACGAGACAATGGGGGGAAAGAGAATAAAACAATGGTAATGCAAGTCAACATGGCAAGTCTCTGAGCCATAGTGTGTGGCACCTCAAAGAGGCCTGTGGGCCCCTGCAGTACTTGCTACCAGAGCAGTCCTACTGTAGGACAGAAACAGTGGAGTGGTAATTGTGATCCCTTCTCCCACTGGCCCAGCTTCACCCCACTTGCCCTGGGAGACAGGCGTCCTGGATTACCTAGTTAGGTTTAGATGGGCTCGGACACTTGCTGGAGAGGTCCACTTTTCTCCACTGACTATACAAAAATCCCTGACAACTCTCACTCCTACCAGAACCACCTTGCTCTGATGGTGCAAGTTACCCAAGACAAATCTGAATCACTGAGAACATCTACAGGCCTAAACAAAACGGAGGTAGGGAGCAACCTCTACATAGCAGGCTCTCCAACCAGCTATTACTAAGTTCACTCCTTGGTCCTGTCTTTCAGCCCTCACAGTATCTTCCTGATAGATCAGACTGGTCTGATCCATGCTAGACAACATGGACATGGGAGAGGCAATATTCCTCAGACTCAGAAGGGCCAGCGACCGGCCCCTTGCTCTCCTTCACTCCTCGACATAGACAGAACCCCTGTCTCCACATGGGGACTGAAAGTAACATGGAGTAGGTCTAATTACGAGAATAGCCCATCCATCCCTTTTAAGGGGTACCACCAAGCAGTTTCAAGGTACGTAGCTAAAGTTCTCTTTGAAGTGGATGGAAGCTTTCACCCCTTCAGCTGACACATAATGATTGTGTGAATAATCCTAGTCTATCCCAGGGAGAGTAGAAGAGGTTATTTAAATCCCCTTAAACTACACTTAATACCTGAAAAACCCATCAGTTATCTCTAACTTCACACAACTGTGCTACCAGTGAATTAAATCTCGCAAACATTATGACGCAAAAGTGTAATGAAAAATAAAAATCTTCTGGAAGATCCCTGTGTTTGCTAGACCATCACAAAATGTTAATTTAAAAACAATTTAAAGTCTATACTCACCAAGCTCCACTTCTATTACTCCTTTATTCTTTGGAAATAAGATTTGAGGAGGTAGAGGTGAGTGTTTTACTTAAGAAATAAAAGAGGAAAAGAAAGCACATCTTAGAAAGTTGTGAAAATGCATTTTGTTAGATAACACTTGCAATCTGTACAGTTAATATTTTATGATCACAAACACAATTGCAAACCAACAGTGTTTCACATGCCTGTTGGAATAATCTGGTTTTATTCCTATGACCAAATATGTCTGGGGAGTATGTAATGTAATGGCCAGTCTCTTCGTGAACGAAGAACCGGGGAAGGTCTTTCCACCTTCCAGCCTGCGCATTGGATTTTTTAGGTGAGACACAGTGTGCGCGGAACTGAGCCCACCCTTTAATCCTGAGGTTCATCTGCCGGGGCCAAGCACGCTTGGACAGTGGCAGCGAGGTCCTCAGGACGTAGATGGATTGCCTTACAGGGCTAACGAGCTCCATCTGCCCGGGGAGGGGCCCTGACCGGGACTCGAACCCGGGTCTCAGCATTCACAGCGCTGTGCTTTAACCACTTCACCACCAGGGGCTCCCCGGGGAGTATGTACATGAATAGTGTCAGTATTTTCTACCCATTTAATATTTAAATTTGAACATAAAGAGCGAGGAAAAACATTAGTTTCTGAAGTACTGTTTTAGCTGCTGAGTGGGGGGAAAAAAGCAAATGCAGTTATAGACTTTGTTTTTTCAGCTGCCTTTTTTTTTTTTTCAAGAGATATAGCGATTCCTTCCAACATTGGAGAAATTACTCATATCCACTGTATGAAATAGCTAATATGTACTTTTATGCAGTGTTTGAAGTAGTAACCTTCTAGCCCATAGCTGCCTGCCCAGGTTTTTCTCTGTTTACCCCATCTCTACAGCTTGACAGCCAAGCATGTCTGCTTCTGAAGACTCTCTGCTGTCTGTGCATCTTTTGTTTCTGCACACAACTGCTTCCCTTTACATCAGTCTGCATGACATTGAGCATTCCTCATCACAGAGTGGTGCAATCGTAAAATCTTAAAGTTTGGAAAAGACCTCTTAGATCAAGTCCAACCATTAACCCATCACCGCTGTGTTCACCAAGTGAGCTCTAAGTGCCACATCCACTTGCCTTTTGGATAGTTCCAGGTGTGGTGATTCCATCACTTCCCTGGGCAGCCTATTCCAATGCCTGACTACCCTTTCAGAGAAGAAATTTTTCTTATATCCAATCTAAACCTCCCTTAGTACAACTTTATGCCATTTCCTATAATTATCTTCTAGAAGGAACACTATTTTTATTTTGATATATTTATTTTCCATTCCCACTAATAATTGCTATGGACATGTCCAAATTACATCCAGTCACTTGAATTAGGCATTCAAATACTTCAGAATTTTTTCTCTTTATGCATTTTTCTTCTTTTCTTGGCCTTTACACTGTCTCAGACTTCCCACTGCAAATGCATTGCTTGCTATCGTTTTCCTCATTAAACTTTTCCAACTCAAGGCACCTCTGTGAAACCCATATAACCTATATACCCTAAAAAAATTTCTGGATTCATTTGTGCCTCTGCTTCCCAAACTACCAGAAAAGCAGTTCTCTTTACCCATCCTAACTGTTTCTAATTTTATTAACTGAATCTGATAAAATAGAATTGTGGAGAGAGCCAGTAGCTCTAGCTATCTGAATATGCTAAGTTCTTAGCTGCCAGCATTCAGAGGCAGAAGGTCCTCTGGATCAGTATGAATCTGGAAGGCAACAGGAATGTACATCATAATTCAGTATTATTAACAAAATATAACAGCTCCACTCAACAGCATACTAATTTTAAGGTCTGATAAAACCTCAAAGAAGTTGTCTTTAAATACTTTGAATTTAGCAAAAACTGGAGCAGGTATGACAGACCCAACTCAGATTTCATGTTATGTTGCAATCTCTTCTTTCTGCGAGGATTCCAAAATATCAGACTGACTTCAAAATCTGCCCGGATGTAACATAGGCTTTTGTAAATTTGAATGCCTTTATGCTAACAAAACCCAGAAATTTTTATTATAACCTAGGCAGAACAGTATTCCTGGCCAATTAGAGAAGTTTTGATGGAAGTACATTCAAACAAAAAATTGTTTGGCAGAGAAGTGTACTGAAGACCAACATGGTGTTACACAGAAGAGGAGGAAAGGCACAAGACTGTCTAAGTTACTGTACTAGGTCTCAGCTCAAATCTGCATTTTGTCCAGCTCAGAATAATTAGAACAAACTCTGCTACTGAGTTGTGGGCACAGCAGCAAAAGACTACAAGCAAGGCTCCTATGCTCCAAATCTGCATTCTGCCCACAAGCTGGGTGCCTCCCCACAACAAATGAACATTACTTATTTTTGAAAAAAAAAAAAAACCCACACCTTTTCTCTTTATTGTAAAAAAGAGTTTTCCTTTGCTCTAAGTTGACATTAGTCTTTTTATCTTAGCAAGCTGCAAAATGACTGCCTTACCCTCACTTATGAAAATTCTTGTTGCTGAGGCATTAAATACATTTCCTTTATAAGTATAAATAAATTGACAAGTATAATAACCATCATCTTCCCTTGTTGGGTTCTCAATATAAATGTATTTTTCTTTCTTGAAGTATCTCTGTCCCTGAAGAGGTTTGCAGTCCTGGAAAAGAAAAATTTATTTGGTTGCAAATAGCTTTTCACAGTATTCTGATCTACGCTGGCACTCTCGGGGGTTTATTTACCTTATACCACTGGATGATAGTAGCATTCTTATAGTTATCAATAGTAGGACAAACAATTCTTCCTCTTCCAGTGTCATTTGCGTAACGAATCTTACTTGGGAAACATATTGCTTGCTTGTATGAATGCACTTGCACACTCACGTTGAATGACTTTGTACGATTTCTTGAACTTTAAAAATGGAATAAAGGTATGTCACATAGTCTTTGTATACAGAATATATTAAATATTTTTTTTAAGTGTGAGTCTTGTTCTATAAACCTCTGTACGATTATTTTATTTCAGTCACAGGTTGATTTTAACGATCTGTTGTAAAAATAGCAATTTCAGGAAGAAAACTTACGCAAAGGTATGAAAAAAAAGCATAATTTCCCCAAATAATAATTAGAAAATGTTAATAAAATGCCTATGTTTCTTGCTAGTCTTACACCTTTCATTTTTCAATGTGGCACTTACAGATATGTTAGACAAGTGTAGTTTCCAGAATCCTCTCTAGAAGTTGGCAGAAACCAAAGAAATCGTTCTAAGGAAAATATTCGTGATCCCTCCTCTTCTGCAGGAATTATTTTGTTAGTATCCATGTGATACCAGGTGACTTTTACAGATGAACTCCATTTGGGACATTTTATAACCAAAGCCTCACCTTCCATTGCATCAACTGTAAATGAGCAAAAGATTAAAATTTAGATGAATTAAACCTTTGCCACACTGAGACAGAGGAGAGCTTGGCATTCCTGGATCAGCAGGCTAGTCATGTCCCTCTAACTTCCTTAGGTTTCCAGAGATGACACATAGCAAGCTTATTCTCACGAAAATTTTTTCATTCAATTTTGTTTACCTTGAGTTATGGAGCCATTTTTTTCCAAAAATAGTAATTCAACTGTGAGACTGAAACAAACAAACAAAGCCCTAGATTCTAAGCAGACACATGCAAAAAAATATGAGGATTTAATTGAAAAATAGTGATTTCTTAAAATGAACTTTTTATGTAAAGCTTTACCTGAAATACTGTTTTTATTCAAAAGAGGAATTAAAACACAAAGAAAAATACTGGCTTTAATGCTGCACTATGAAGTTTGCTTTCCTTATCTCAATATAATTGATAATTATTTATACAATAGATAACAGTTTTTGTTCTACCTTGTTAAGGCAGAAAAAGGAATTTTTTTTTCATGGAAGTAAAGAATCATAGATGGAGGAAGTCTACAGATTAGATCCTTAGGGGAAAAAATACCCAACCAAACATAAAACATGAAAGAAGAGATTCTCTCTGAAGTTCATGAAAATGGGGGGAAAAAATTAAAGAAATGTAACAGACTGAAAGGAAGAATTTGATGTGAAGGTGGGAAGGTGAAAAGATGCCAGAAATAAATAAGAAACAAATAAGTAGTTTCGGACAATAAAACACACATGCTCACACATAAGAAAAAAAAGGAACAAGTTGGGAGTAAAACACTACATTCTTTAATATTTTTTTTAAATGCATATACTTCTACTTTTGAGTACTGAAACTGGTCCAGAGAAACTTGAATCTAGCAATTTTCACAAATATTTAAGTGCTCGGGCACCTGAACAGGGAACTGGCTACTGAAAAAAGAAATACTGATTGGAAAGTTATATCGCATTTTGAGAAGAGAAAGACGAGGAAATGAGCATGGATGGTGATGGGATAAGGATGGAGATTGGCAGAGAAACTTCAGTAGGTAAGGGAGCATGAAAATGAGAGTAAACAACCAAATAGGTAACCAAAATAACCATCAAAAATGACACTGCGAGAGTATTGCCACCACCTGGCTTTAGACATGTAGGTGCACAAATCAGGGGATGAGTCTCTCTAGATGGTGAGTTCTTCTGCTCTGGTTCTTTCTAAAGAAGCAGTCCATCTCTACCGATATTAGGTGTCATCTCGCTTAGCCACATCAGGTATGAATACCCTCAACCCCGTCATTTTAGACAGCATTCCCACCCATCAACCTTGCAAAGACAGTGAGTGGGACATATCAGGGGTGTCAGAAAAGGCAGCACTGTCCCACCAAAGGTGCAGAAAATTAGTGGGGAGAGGGAAGACATGGAAAAAGAAAAGACTCATCTAAACTCATTTACATCAATGAAAATTATTTTGGTAAATTCTTCAACAGGATCTTAATAAATCCTAATTTGTTTGAATCTTAGCATTTGTATTGTAAAACTGACAATATGGAGAAATACTTAGAGATCATATCTTACAAAATTTTTCAGGCAAACAAGCATCGCATCTAGAGAATAGAAGTACATGAGTGCTATGTAACACTGTGTCACTGGGCAGCAATTTACAGCTGAGTCAGAAGAGCTGACCCATCAGAAAGAGCTTACTGTTCTGACCGTCCCTCATGAGCAGTGAAATGTTGTTGATAAATTGCACTTTTCAGTTAATACCCCCAAATCTGGGACATTAAAGACCATCTTCATTGAGCAGAGCACCCAGTTACACCCCTGGTTCAGCAGGGTGCATATGCCCTGTTCAGTGCAATTTAAGCATGCTCTTGGAGACATTGCCCAGTTGGGACCTTGAGCAACAGCTACTCTCAAGTTCTTTCAAAAAGACCCTTTTGTTTCTGCTTGCAGAGATGCCAAGTGGCAGAGTAGAACCTAGACTTGATGTTGTAGAAATGGACAGTACTTGCCTTGTTTTAATATACAGAGAAAACATATCAAGTTTTAAAGTTGTGATTTGCAACCTGAGATAAATTCAGTAATTTTAGGTTTAAAAATAAAACTACCAATTTGGAAACAGCCTACACGTTTCTACAGAACAAACCTCATCAGAAAGTATTTTTAAAATGTGACTTACATAGTTCAGTTGTCATGGAAACCGAGAGGAAGGTAGATAGGAAGATCAAATCTACGTACACCATCATATTTCTAAATCAGAAAGAAAAACATTGGTATCTTAGAATATACTCTGACTGCATCAGTAATACTGTGCTGATGTACATCGTCTAACAGAAAATGGTATCATGCAGTGATAAACTGCATCATGTGAGCTGCTCTGTATAGTGTATTTCTGTGTGTGTGTGTGTGTGTGTGTGTGTGTGTGTGTAGCAGTGGTTTTGCAGCTTTGAGGAGATGTTCTTTGTTTTATTATCACTGTAATAGCTGATGTTCCATTGGAACTACTGTTATGACTTCCTTTAGGGGTTGGGGAATTACTCTGCCATGGTGAGCCTCAGGCAGAAGCCTCTTTCCATGTGGTTGTTTCTTTTAAGGAAGCTATATGTACACTGGCATTCTCTTCACAGTCAAGTGCAGAAAAATTATACCTCAACTTAGAAAAGAACAAATCCTGGTTTAGAAAATATATACCCTGGCTTTGAATTAAGGTTACATCCAATCAACTACTTAGGTGCCCAAGACCTTTTTGGCTTTCTAAGCAAGTGGAGGTGTTTTCACTGACAGCTCCTCTAGGTAAGTATTTAGCAGTAAGAATAAAACCAGGGTAGTGCCATCAAAAATGCTAACTTGAAAGGGAACTGAAAAAATGAACTGGAAATGTAGGTAAAGGAACATATATTATACTCATGTAACAGCAGTAGGGCAAATCCCATCCTTCACTGATGTTTTCATTTGTGTCTAACTGATATGGACCTTCTTGTAATTCCCATCTCATGGAATGGCTTCAGAACTCCACAGCAAACCCCTTCATTAGAAAAACTGATCATTTGATCATGGACATTACATTGATCTAATCCAGGAATGTCTCAGGAGACAGCAGGCATGCAATCCAGCTATACTATGTAGCTGTAAGCATTCTACTTACCATTAATAAATCCTTCCCTTGAATGCTGTCCTTCACTGCAGATCACAGAGTGGTGGGTTCTATTATCATGTATGAGTAAGAAGCACTCCCACGGTACTGCAGATAATTGACAAGCTTACAGGAGAAATCAAGTTAGAAATTAAGTATAATTAATCTTGCAGAGAGTGAGCACAAGAGGAGTAGTGAAAAACAGGCAAGAAATATAAGTACCGTCATCACACTTATGGCAAGGAAATTTTATTTCAGTGCCAAAGATTTCCAAACTAAATAAACATTGACAGACCTTATCTAAGCCTACATTTTTGCCAAGTCTGAAATTCACAACAGATTCAATTTTGAGCTTTCACAAATGTCACCAGCTTTTTATTGATTTGGAAAGTTTCTTCTTTTAGAAGGTTTATTAACATCCAGGGGGCTATTCTAAAACTGTGAAAAATAATAACGAAACTTGGTATTAGAAAAATGTGAGAATTTCAGTGTAGGTGTTGTGCAGGGGTATTGACAAATCACAGGAAAGATAAGGTTTAGACCAAAAAAGCAGAGTCTCAGCATTAATGTCACAGCAAGACTGATGCCCTTGTCTTTTACAGAAAGTGATTGAACAGCCAGTGTGTGCGAGGAGCTATTTGCTTTCATTAGAGCAGGACAAAAGCACCACATACAAGTGCAAGTCTATTGACTTCTTTAATTCTAAGGTAACTTTGCTCCAGGTGAATAGACTTTTAGAGGATACTTTTGAACACAACAAACATCAGGAGTTTTACGCTGGAAGAAATTAACAAGAACAGGGTTCATGAGCGACCTGGGTCAGGACAAACCCTCAGGAGAGAAAGATATGTTGCAGAACAGCACACAACAAAATTCACAGCATTATTTCTAACACTACCATGGACCAGAAATACCCTGAATATTCCTTCTCTGCTGAGAGCCTTTTCCTAGCAAGTGTTTGGTTCTGTTCCAGGAAATTATTTGCCCCCAGCGAGGTATACCAGCAGTTATACTAACTGCCCTACTATTTTTTTGGGCTATTTTCATTAAGCAAGTGATACCTCAGCAAGATGACAAAAAGTAAAACAATAGATTTTTTTAAGGAAAATCAGTTTCATAGACTAAGTTTGGAGACTGTCTGAAATGAGGTCCTTTCTCAGTTGATATTTTATTTGTATGTGCCTATTATGCATTTGGCCACAAGTAATATCATCAGCAAAGATATTGGAGAGTCCCTTATTGCCAATGCTATTGCAGGCCTAGAAATGGAATGCTAGTGATTAAGAAAAAGTTGTGAGGAAATATGCTTTCTCTGTTTTTGAGCTTTGTCCAGGAAGGGAGCCAATTGCTTGCTCTCAAAAACTTACCTAACAAGTGCCAGAATGATTCAGAAGTAAGAAATTTATAATTTCTTATCTCCATACTTGCTACCAGCCTGCACCAAAAAAGTGCAAAATATTTGAGGTAGGATTCTCCCCACCAAATTTGATGATTTCTTTATTGATTTTCCCTCCATTTTTAAGCTGCCTTGTACTGGCAGCAGTTTAAGTAGAGTTTAGGGTTTGTGTGTATGAATACGGACAATATATGAGGCTCTAATTAAAGAGGAATGTTCCCTGAAAATACAAAGAGATCAGGCACTTAAAAGAACAATGTGATTCTGTTTGCATTTTCCAAAGTCAGCAGCAAACACCAAATTGCCTCAACACGAACTGAAGCAGAGGCTGCAGTTCTAGACAGAAAATATCAAGAGAAGAACTAGTTTTATAATGCCTTACAGCTTGTGGCATTACTCTGCACAAAGCAAAATTAAGGCACTCATGTCCATGATCCTTGGGTCAAATGAAAAGAGCATTCTGAGGCACAAAACACAGGCAGTAAGACACCTCAAGTGCCACAGTCAAAAGAAGTTTCCGTAGCTTGAAGCACTGAGAAACAAAGACCATAATTTCTGGAAATAATTATGCAGTTTCTGCTTTTGTTGTTTCATTTAGAACATTTGTTTTATTACATTTGTCTAAAGTGAAACCTGGATAACATTTTTTTGGGTCCTCAGTATACCATAAGTTTAGATTGCTAATATTTAGGGGGATAAAAGATAAGGAGACATTTTCCATAAATCTCTTTCTTCCTATAGCTCAGATTAAAAATTTCAGTGTGATGCTGGAAAAGCACTAGATCCAAAATCTGGGATACCTGAGTGTGTCAAAACCTAGCTCCTAATGATTAAATATCAAAGGAAGGTGAAAACTGGGAACCCTCTATGTATGTTGCAGAAGCAGTACTCTATAGGGTTTAATTCATTGTTTCTTCAAAGGCAACTGTCTTAGTAATATATTTTTGATTTTCTTTCTAAAATTGTATTTGGCAACAGAATGTTTATAGTACTGTTTATAAAAGTGACAAGCATTATAAAGGCACCATATTTTGCATGCTAACAAAACAGGGAAATGTTATTGCAATTTCTACTCTAAAAAGCTTAACAGACTTTATGATGTAAACATATCATGAATGAGAAGTTGTGTGAGATTTGTTTACTAAGACATAGAACACATACACCTTTTGAAAATGATTTTCATTCTTTTATTAAAGGAGAAAATCCATTCTGACTGAAAATGGGCTGTTAAAATAGCAACAGTAAAACGGGTCTTATTCCAGAACTAGCATTCACAAGAGTTAAGAACGACACTAGTTACAGATGTAAGTGTAAAATTAAGGAATTTCAATATCAAAATATGGAAATGTTAGAATTTATATACACAGTATTCATAAAAATATTTTGAAGAAAGAAAGTGCATAAATATATTAACCTCTGATAAATCAATTGCACAGTAAAGATTTTCTGTGTCTCTCACTTATTAGTAAAGCTATATGCCAGAAAACTGAGGTAAAATTCATTTCTAAATACATTTCATTGTAAGGTAAATCTTTTTGCTGGTCACAACATTGTCTATCATGGAAGCATATCCACCATTTTAATCTAGTATTATTTCTTGAGATAAAGAAGCACATAAGTGAACTAGAATAAACTTTCTTACCAAATTCTTCAATTATTTTTGGTTAAATGATAATATAAAAGTTTGACCTACCATCTGGAAAATTCAGAAAGCAGAGAAGTGGCTTGTTCTCTGTGGCTGGGTCTTTCGCACTGATTTCTCTGCTTAGCTTGTACCAGATATTACTGGGAACTGCTTATCTGGCTTGTGCAGTTCATATCTGCATAGCAAAATACACTGCTTAATCCTGAGACACCTCCCACTGAAGAGAGCAGAACATGCAAATTACTGTAGTAATTTATCTTAAATATCTATCAGAGGTGGCATCTCATAGTTCCAATCAATCAGATAGCTTTTATCACTAGCATAGTTTTTCCATTAATTGCAAATTATTCCATTTTATTATATTGCAATAAATATGCTGGCGGGGGAGGATAAAGAGGGGACACTGATGGTAGAGGCTTCTTTGAAACGGATTCTGCTTGAAAACAAGTGAAAGCCTTGCCTGGTCTAGTCAAGTGAAAGCTCCCTTAGAACAGCTCTAAAAGTCCCTTGTGAATCAGGAATAGTTTTTAGTGAAGGAAACTGCTTCACTGAAGCTAAACTGAACAAAGAAGGTGCTGAGAAACCAGTTTTCTGCATCATCAGCTAAATTAAGTCTCTGAGGTAAAGATTTTATTCTATGGTCATTCAAACTCTTTTTTTTTTTTTTTCCCTGGCAGAGTTCTGAATACCATTTGTCCCTTCCAGTGTTCCTGGGACTCTACTGTCAGCATGCAGCAACTCCACATCAATACACAAAGATGTACCAATCCTACTCCAGTATGCAAAAATCTTACTGATGTCATAACCTTGCTCTCCCTCGTTCTTGGTACAGCACTTCCTTTGAAGTGATCTGGGGGTTGCGCTTCTCATATGACATAGAAAATGCAAAAGAGCTAAAAAAAACCCCACCTGCAACGATGAAATCTCACAATGCTTTGGTCAACCAGTCAGGGGCAGATCAGACCCCTATTTTGAAAAGTTCACAAACTACTCCTTGCTCAGGCTTGTGAAGTTTCATCGACATCAAGGTCTTCCTCATTTGGGATGTGAGAGACTTGTAAAAAAAGCCTGGAGTAACCATCTGCATTCAGTGGTAGGTTCAACATCCTCTAACCACGATGTGTCAGGTTACTCTGGGGAAGGGTTAAATATAATTCAGGTAAAGCTAACTTCCATTGCCTGGACACAGAATAAGTTATTCTATCATAAAGTCCATATCCTGAAACTTAGATCAGAGATTCTTATAGCGTTGCTGCACACCTCAGAAGACCCTTTCATCCTGTAGTTTGCTACCCATGCCCAGGTTGTTCCCAGATCATGGTGCAGGCGGGAATTGAGCTCCTGGCTAAAGAGGATAGTTGCCAGCTGACCAAAAGCCATTCTGCAGCTTTTGTAAGAAACTACAATCAGTGTTGAATGCCTTGTAACTTTTGGCCCATCTTTAAAAAAAAATCCTACTGATAAGTATATGGAAAAGTGTGATTACAGAAATACCTCAAGAGATTTCTTTGAGGAGTTAGATGCATCATGCTCCATTGGCAGCCTGTATGGATAGCACTTCAGCAAGCAAGGGAATCATCTGTTCTCAAAGCAAAGAGGTCAAGAAGTAATGCATTTAAACTGAAGCAGAGAAAAGTTAGAAGAGACAGCAGAAAAAATCTTTTGACAGGAAAGGTATTGAAGCACTGGAAGAATTGCCTGGGAACCTAGTAGAGCTGCCACTTGGTATTAGAGAAAAATTTACTATTGATATAATAAATGCTGTAGCTGACCCCATAAGCCCTTACCAGCGGTAGGAGTCAATGGCCCAGAGATTCAGCTGTCCATGATTCAATGACTGGTTTTAGTGCAGGATGACTGTATGAATTTAACCCAGTTGTGTTGGCAAAATTATTCCTAGGCTGTGAAAAGCATGCACGCCGAAGCAAGATACCAAAAATGAAAATCCAAATCAAAGGAAGTTATTGACATCTTAATACTTAGGAGTTCAAGTATGAAAGAGGAAAAATAATAACACAGAAAAAGAGGAAGTCCTGAGATAAAAGGCAGTGATAGGGAAACAGCAATTCAGCAACTGCAGGGTTCTCTATGCTTCTAGAAGCAGTGTTTAGTTTAGCAGCATGTTAAGTCCTACTTGCCTAATACCTAATTCTACTTGGCAGGAAATACTTTGTGTGTGAAATTTTTGGTCAGTGCTTGCAGACTGTAGACAGTACACACAGTAGGGAACATCTGGAGACAAGTGACCCTGTCAAGAAAGGTTTTGCTCTCTACTTTTATTGAGGCCAACCCAGGGAGCACTGGTAGCAAATGGTGGGATGGCTGGCGGAGATATTGTTGGGTGTGTCCCCACCTGTGTTACATCTAATGTTTTTTAGCTGTTGAGGATCCACCCTACTGAGGTTGCAGTGTCCTTCCTGTTCCTCTGTGTCATGGTGCCTTTCTTGAGGCTAAAAAAGGCATCTTGTGCTTTGTGTAAAAGAGAAATCAGAAAAAAATTTTTCAAGGTTTATAATATTGTAATGGGGATGGATTTCTCCCAAGGTAAGAGTTGCCCCTGGTCTTTATTGTTGATCATGCAGTCCTATTACCATTCACATTGTGATAAGAAGGGACTGGTCCCCAAGTAACTCTGCTGGTTCCTTTCATTGAGAAGTTTGAGACAGTTATCCCAAGAAGACACTGTTTGAGGGATACATATTGGGTATATTGGGTTTATGGGGCAAAACTTGGGAGGGTACAAAGGTGACTTCTGTGAGAAGACACCAGGAGCTGCTCCCATGTTGAACAGAGCCAGTCCCAGCCAGTTCCAAAACAGACTCACCGCTGGCAAAAGCTGAGCCCATCAGCAACACTGGTAGCACCTCTGAGATAACATATTTAAGAAAGGGTAAAAAGTGCTGCACAGCAGCTGTGAGAGAAGACTGCAGAGACCAAGGTCAGTGAAGAAGCAGGAGGAGAAGGTGCTTCAGGCACTGGAGCAGAGATCCCTGTGCAGCCCATGGAGAAAATCATGATGACACAGTTTGACCTCCTGCAGCCCATGGAGGACAGCAGTGGAGCAGAGATCCACCTGCAGCCCATGGAGGATTCTACACTGAAACAAGTGGATGTGCTCTGATGGAAGCTGTAGTCTATGGAGAGTCCATGCTGGAGCAGGCTCCTGGCTGGAACTGAGGACACTGAAAGGAGCTTATGCAGCAGCAGGTGTTCTGGAAGGTCCTGTGGTCCATGGTGGACCCACACTGGAGCAGTCTGTTCCTAAAGGCTGCAGCCCACGCAAGTACCCACACTGGAGCTGTTTGTGAAGAACTGGATCCCATGTGAAGAGCCCACAATGGAGAAGTTTGTGAAGGACTGTCTCCTGAGAGAGGGACCCCTCCATTGCAGCAGGTGAAGAGTGTGAGAACGAAGAAGCAACAGAAGCAAAATGTTATGAACAGACTGGAACCCCCATTCCTCATCTCCCTGTGCCACTCGGGAGAAGGAGGTAGAAGAGTTGGCAATGAGCCTGGGAAAAAGGGAGGGGTAGGGAGAAGATGGGATTAGTTTTAGTTTATTTCTTATTCTGTTATTAATTGGCAATAAATTAATTTCTCCAAGTTGAGACTGATTTGCTCTTGACACTAATTAGGAAGTGATCTCCCTGTCCTTATCTCAACCCATGGACTTTAATAGTATTTCCTCCTCTTGTTCTATTGAGGGAGAGGGTTAATAGAGCAGCTCAGTGCAGCCTTGGTAGCCAGTCAAGGTCAACTGGCATGGCAGGCTCTCGCACAACAGTGAGGACATGCATGTGGACAGGAAAGGATTAGTAAGTTTATAAGTATTAGAAAACCATCAGTATTTTTACCATACTCATCCCTCTCCTTCATTCCACCAAACCAGAGATAGCAAATCTCTTATAAGATTTTCAAATCCACTGTAGTTGCCAGAGAGTGTATTAAAGTTCAGAGGATGCAAAATGGAGGTGACAGCATCTTGAAGAAAACAGCTGACTAAAGTAACAAGAATTATATCTGTCCTTTTTTATGTGGATGGCACGCATTTCCTTTGAGTTGCACATTTATACATTACTTGGTCACCATATATTTATTATTTGATCATTAGAAGTTTAGGAAAGATCTTAACAATGATAGCTATGCTTGTCAGGTCAAGGACAATATTCAAACAAAAATCATAGCATAGTTAACAGAGCCTATGTATCTTAAAACCAATTTCCCTTCGTAAAGAAGTTTTCAATTTCTCTGCTCCATGTCTTGCCCCAAAAGGAAAGTAGCTGCGCCGCCATCCCACAGAGTCTGGATACAGCCAGCCAGAATATACAAAAATAACAGCAGCTGTTCTGAATGTCTGAATGTCACCAGACCACCAGCAGGATCCCCGAGGGGAGACCACAAAGCCCACCAGGGAGAGGATCAGTGCAGCACATCTGTTGCTCTTATGGAAATTAAAATACTTCACTGAGTTTTCAGGATCTTCCATTCCCACAGATGGTCCTGTCCTTGGATGCCAGAATAGTTTACAATACAATGGTGAGAGTGAGTCTGAGCAATTATGTTTGGGCAAGAAACCTGTACAAGGTTTTCCCACAAAAGAAACACCAAACAAACCAGCCCTCCTGTACCCAAATAACAAGCAGAGACAAGATGTGTGTGAGTGAAATCTTCCAAATTTTAAGTTAAAGGCCATTAGATGCACAGGAAGTCACTTCTTGATGAAACAGCATAGACTAATTCCAGAAGTCTCAGGTCCTTATAGCCAATCTACCCCTCGGAGTGCACAGGAAGCTAATTTCCTCCCGTGTAGTACCCACTCTATGTTTCATTACTGTGGAAACAATTATTTAGCACATGATTGTTGTTCTTATCTGACCTCTTCCTTGAGAATAAAGAGGTTTTTTCTGCAGAATTTCTCAGGAAGAAATGTCTACAAATACACGCCATTCTGGAAATCATACCCCAGATGCCTAAGAAAAAGTTCTTATTAATTTACACAACTAAAATTAATGAGGACTGTCTGGAAAGTCATTGAAGATAATTTGTTGACAAATTATAATGTTTATAATGACTTCTTACTAAATATTTTTGTTTGTTCCTGAATGTACATGAATTACTGGAAGTTAATGTCTTACTGAGAAA